CCAGTGCGACTTATCATCTACTTTGCTTTCGTTTTTTTTGGGTTGGGGGTCCTCCGCCCTCCCTCCGTAGCTGCAGCGGCAGGAGCCTTCCGCGGCACGGTAAGTCGAGTATGGGGTATTGTCTTGCTTAGCTGATGGTGGAAAGTTCCACCAGCATTGTTCGCAATCGAATGGTTTGCACCACTTGACTGTGCAACTGATACGAATACAGGCGGCAGGGCGCCCACGAAGTTTTTACTGCTCTCCACGACTCACGCGACCAGTCGGTCGGCACCACGCGCACAGTTTCTCCAATATTTCTGGATGTGCTATGCTTCATCTATTTCCTGATCTTCCAGACAGGTTAACTAGTCTGCAAGCTTGGACCTGAATGGCCAGCACGGCCAAGGCTGCGGTCAGGCGGCCCAGGTATTTGAAAAGCACGCGTGCAGATGCTTTCAAGAGCCTCGGAGCGAACAGTGACGTAAAACGTACTGCAAGCTGGCCGACGCCCCCAAGATGCTTCTCAGAGCCTCTCAAGAGGCCCCCCGTGAACGAACAGTGACGAACATTACCCGAGGCGTACCCAATCTTTTCTCCACGCGAGGCGAATATTTGCATGAACGCTCCATACAAAAGAAAACATCGCCAGATATGCATGATCTGCGCTACCCTCATCTCCGCCGTGCCTCCCATGAGCCCACGAAAGTGGCGATAGTTGCGAATTCCGTGGCCTCCCAGGGAGCCGCGAGGTGTCGGCTGGAGCCGCGATCCCCCGACTCCGCTGAGCGGTCCGCTGGACCTCCCAGGAGCCCACAACAACTGCGAGAGTTGCGCAGTTCGCAGCCGCCCGCGCAGCGAGGTCCCCTCTGGGTCCGCGTGGCCCCCGACTCCGCCGAACCACCCAAAAGAGTCCGCAATCATCGAGACAGCTTCACAGCTCGCAGCCCCCCAGGGAGCCGCGTGGTCTGGTCTGGGTGTGCGTGGCCCCCAGCCCGACTCTGCTCTATTCAACACGAGAGTCCAGCACCAGAGGGTTGGGAACGCCGATGCTCCCAAGAGCGAACGGTGACATTAAGGTCTCGGATCACCAACCCCCCCAAGAATTCACAGCGACGTACAAAGCTTTGAACGCCAAGGCTCCCAACAATATTGCAGCAGCCCCGCACAACGAGGCGGTGTTTCCGTTCCCGTGCTGGCCCAGGGTCGAACACGCCCCTTCCGTGCAGGCATTGTACGCTTCATAACCAAGCCGTCATCCTGCACTACGAGGGTGCCTTTTGCAGGGGAGTGGCCGTTCGCGCTTGGCCTGATGGGGTGCGGGGATCGCCCCTTCCAAGGCTCCAGACGGCGCCCAGAGGGAATGCTTTTGCGGGGGCGCAGCGCACCAAAGGCCTCACCCCGCCCAGCAACGTGCGGCGTCGTTATCGGGGGCATATCGCCGATCTATCGGCGATGTATCGCCGACTCCAGGCCGATGGTCCCCCCGAGCCGGTCCCCCTCCCTAGAGTCGCAAGCCGCACAGCGAGGATGAATCAACTTTGACGCCTATCCTTGCATCCTTGCCCGTTCGGCCCATCCTCGGCGGCCTTCGCTGGCCAGCCCCCGTTGGGAGACGCCACAGTTGGCCCTCCAAGGCCCTGGCGCCTGTGCCGCGCATCCTCACCGTGCGACTTGACTGCAACGTGGCCCCTCACTTCAAGCGGAGGAGGAGGAGGAGGAGGAGGAGGAGGAGGAGGAGGAGGAGGAGGAGGAGGACACTGGATCCGTGGTCGGCGCTGCCCCCTCCCTCACCGCCCGCGGCGTTCGCTGGCCGCTCGGGGGGGGGGGAAGAAGAGTGGGCTTCACAGCCTGTTGCAGGAAGGGGCCTGCGCGCAGGGAGGAGCGAGAAGCGAGGGAGTTCATCCCCCGTCGCCCCCATTTATTCCCTCCCTCCTCCTCGCCAGCCAGGGCAGATGGGTACCACTGGGATGCGCAGAGGGCCCCGCAGGGCCCGTGGAGGGGCCGCCCCCACACAGCCAGAGAGCGCCTCCGAGGCGGGCCACCCCGCCTTGCCCGAGGCGCGCTTCTTCACAGTACAGTCAAAAGCCCCAATAAGGACTCGCGACTTTGCTCAGGGTACCCTTGCGTCCTTGCCCTTCCTTGCTCTTGCGTCCTTGAGGTTTTCGTCGTCCGCCGCCCCCAGAATCCCAACTTCGGCTTCCAAGGGTCTTGCGTCCTTACCGCGCGTCCTTATTAGGGTTTTTGATTGTACGTAGGTTCGCCATCTGTTGTGGTACAGTGGGGGCCCATGCGAAGAAACACCCTGCCTGCCTCCAGGGTGCCCTGGGCTGCTTGGGTGTCGATGGTTTCGTTGTGGAAAGCTTGACGCTCCCACACCAAAACATCAATGCACGTCCTTGGGTCTCAGGTTGGGCATCTTGTGGAAGGTTTCTTGGGGGGAAGGTTTCTTGTGGGAGAAGAAGAGGGAGAATCTGCCCAGCCTGCTGCTTAGCAGCAGTTGGTGCCCCTTGCGCACCAAACGCAGCCCGTCTTTTAGTGTTGTTTGCATTCTGTCCAACAGGCCGTTCGAAGGTGGAAGTCCTGCTGTAGCCCTGTGTTGCGGGGAGGACACCGAGCCCGAGGCGAGGTAACTTCGGGGGGGAGCGGGGTCCTGTCTGCAGGCCCCCGCCTGGGGATGCTAACCCAGGCGGAGGAGCAAGAAGGCTCCGAGAGCACCTCGTCGGATGGACGTCCTCACCCCCAGTTTCCCTCTCTCTCTCTCTCTCCTCCTTCTCCTCGTCGTCCTCGTCCTCCTCGCCCTCCTCCTCCTCCTCCTCCTCCCCCTCCTCCTCCTCCTCCTCCTCCTCCTCCTCCTCCTCCTCCTCCTCCCCTCCTCCTCCTCTCTCCTCCTCCTCCTCGCCTCCTCCTCCTCCTCCTCCTCCTCCTCCTCCTCCTCCTCCTCCTCCTCCTCCTCCTCCTCCTCCTCCTCCTCCTCCTCCTCCTCCTCCCCCCTCCCCCTCCTCCCCTCCCCCTCCTCCTCCTCCTCCTCCTCCTCCTCCTCCTCCTCCTCCTCCTCCTCCTCCTCCTCCTCCTCCTCCTCCTCCTCCTCCCCTCCTCCTCCTCCTCCTCCTCCTCCTCCCCCGCCTCCTCCTCCTCCTCCTCCTCCTCCTCCTCCTCCTCCTCCTCCTCCTCCTCCCTCCTCCTCCACCTCCTCCTCCTCCTCTCCTCCTCCTCCCCCTCCCCCTCCTCCCCCGCCCCCTCCTCTCCTCCTCCTCCTCCTCCTCCTCCTCCTCCTCCTCCTCCTCCTCCTCCTCCTCCTCCTCCTACCCTCCTCCTCCCCCTCCTCCTCCTCCTCCTCTCCGCCTCCTCCTCCTCCTCCTCTCCTCCCCTCTGCCCTCCCCCTCCTCCTCCTCCCTCCTCCTCCTCCGCCTCCTCCTCCTCCTCCTCCTCCTCCTCCTCCTCCTCCTCCTCCTCCTCCTCCTCCTCCTCCTCCTCCTCCTCCTCCTCCTCCTCCTCTCCTCCTCCTCCACCCCCCCTCCCCCTCCTCCTCCTCCTCCTCCTCCTCCTCCCTCCTCCCCCTCCCCCTCCTCCTCCCCGACCTGGACTCCCCCCGCCCCTCCTCCAGAGGCAGTGCACCTCGCCCCCTCTCCCGCCCGCCCCCGCCTCCCGCGCGGAGGCCAGGGCCCGCAGGCCTCTCCGCCCCGACAGGCGCGGTGCAGAGACGGGCAGCCGCTGGCGACGAAGCCTCGGCTTGGCATCGCTCGGACGTGTGCATTTTTCATTCGGCGAGGACCATCGAGGAGCATCCTTGATTATTTGCCGAAAATGCCACGCACGAAACAGAAAAAACACAGGGAATTAACGTCCGAGCAATAACCAAATGGCGCTTTTGCCTGAGGCTCAATGGTCTGAGGGCGCGGAGAACCGCCGTGCGCCTGGTTGGGTGGTGCCGGAGTCCCCTCCTTCCGCCGCTCTTCCCGATCGTCTCCTCCTTCCTGCTCCCCCTCCCACTGCAATCCTCCCTCCCTCCCTCCGTCAAGCCCCTTCCTGCCCCGCTCCTCTCTGGATCACCTCCTAGCAGCCGCGGCTCGCTGGAGCGACGGCGGATGCAGCGGCCGGGCAGGCCACACCGTGTCCCAGTCGTCCCTCCAGTGCCCTCCTCCTCCCGGTCGTCCCTCCCAGTGCCCTCCTCCTGGCTCGTCTCGGGGCGTCTGCTGATGATCGGCGCAAGCCGAGGACGAAGGGACAGCCTCTCCTCTCGTCTCCCGCTCGCCTCTGTCTTCCTCCCGGCCCCTCCTCCCGGCCCCTCCTCCCCCTCCCCTCATCACTTCTCCTCCCCGATCCTCCCCTCCACCTGTATCCTTTGTGCTCTTCCTCTTGTCCCTCCCCCTCCCCCTTGGTGAACACACTGGGAAACACGACAGGCACATTGGTGACACATTTAGTGCACTTCGCAATTATCTTGCCTGGAGGAGGAGGGCGAAGAGCAGAGGGAAGGAGATCAGGAGCATGAGGTGGAAAATGACAACAACGAGGAGGATGAGCAGGAAGAGGATGGGTAGGGGGATCGGGATGGTAATGAGGATTTGGAGGATGGTGCGGAGGGGAACGACGAGTAAGTAGGAGGTTTGAGGACGAGTCGAACATTGAGGAGGACCAGCAGCAGCAGCAGCAGCAACAGCAGCAGCAGCAGCAGCAGAAAGGGAAGTTGCAGGAGCCAGGAGAAGCATGGGAGAGTGATGAGAAGAGCCGCTTTCCCCTCGTCGTTCTCTCCCAACCGACCCCCACCCTCTTCTTCCCCTCGGGCAGGCCTCCTGGCTCTCCCCCTCTCCCTGGAGACTTCCGCCCCCTCTCCGCGCCCCCCGCCCATCCCTCCGCTCCTCCCTCCCTGCCTCCTCGAGGAGGCCTCCTCGGTCCCAGGGGCCCTCCCTCCCCTCCTCGAGGCGCCCCCCCTCGATCCTCCCTCCCCGCCGAGGGCCTCCGGGAGCACCCCCCCCCCCCCCCTTCGGGAGGCCTCCCCGCGCGCGCGCGCGAGAGAGGCCTCCTTCCGCCGCGGCCTGGAGAAGGAGCCCCCGAGGGCGCGCGGCCGCGCACGGGGGGGGGGGGGGGGGCGGGCGCCCGCGGCGCGTGATGGCCTGCGCCGAGGATGCACTTCGGGCCCCCAGTCGGCGGGCCGTCGGGCGCCGCGGCGGCAGGCAGGCCAGAGCAGCAGGCGCTGCGCGCCGTCGTCCCGCTGCGCTCGAAGAAGAACGACCGCCACAGCCACAGACACCCGCAGAAACATCATACCCGTCGGTCCTTGCAAGTGGGTGTTTTGGGATGCCCAGCTGCCCATCCACTTTGAACGCCTGCCCGCTTCCGTGATGGAGTGGCTTCCCCTTTTCCCGTCCTCCCGAGGGGGCGGGCGGACACCCAATCTATTTTCAGCGCCGTCCTACCTCATGTTTCCGCCTACTTCTTCCGACCGAGGGGTGATGTTTTGGCGCTCCGCGCGGGATTCTTGGGTTTGTGCAGTTCTGTGCTCCCCTGATGCGCTCTCGACACCCGCGGGGCTGCGCTCTCGACGCCCGCGGGGCCCCCGAGGGGGCCCGCAGGCTGCCCGCGACCGGCGCGGTCCCGCGGCGGGGAGTGGGGCAGCAGCAGATGTAGACAAACGAAGATGCTGCCAGCCGCTCCCTCGCTCGGTAGCAGATCACGGGAGCCTGGCATGCCCTCTGAATTCCGTATCTAGCGTCGGCTCGCGCGGAGTAGCGTCTGAGGGGTCGATGTGAAAGCGCCCGTTTAGCGTCGGCTAGCCTCGATGTAGCGTCGATCCACGTTGATCTGGTGTCGACTGGCGTCGGTTCGCAAGAGTCAGCAAGATGGTTTCTGGAGGCTCCCATGACTTGCCCGCGCTCGACTCCACCTGAGGCCTCCGAGGAAATGGAGGAACGAGGCGGAGGAGGAGGAACGAGGAGGAGGATGAGAAAGAGAGAGAGAGGAGGAGGAGGAGGAGGAGGAGGAGGAGGAGGAGGAGGAGGAGGAGGAGGAGGAGGAGGAGGAGGAGGAGGAGGAGGAGGAGGAGGAGGAGGAGGAGGAGGAGGAGGAGCGGGAGGAGGAGGAGGACGAGGAGGAGAAGCACGGGAGTCCTCGCTGCTCCCTCGACGCTCCCCTTTCGTGCGACCCGAGGGGGCCGGCAGGCTGCCTTCGGCCCCAACGCCGTCTGGTGTTGCGGCAGCGCGTCGCCTCGCTGAGCTCTCGTCGTCCACGGGGGGCCATTCTCCCCGGGGCCCCCGGGGGGGCTCGCAGACTGCTCCCGCGTCTGAGCACAGAGTCCTAGCTGCGAGTGGTTCGGCGGCGCGTGCCGATGGCACGTCGTGGCCTCGGCCGCTGCGGTCTCACGTCCCTCCCCCCGCTCGCTGTATCATCGGGGCTCAACGATCTCCCCGAACCCTATTAACACAATGGGGACATAGCTTAGCTTTGGTTTCCGTTTTTGCATTCGGGATATCGTATTCGGGTGGTCTGGTTTGATGCATCTGCTGGGAAGGCCCCCTATCCCTCCCCATGTCTTGGGCCTCTTAGCTCAGGTCCGCTCCCAAAGGGTTGTGGGTGGTTGTACTGCTCCGTGGTTCATCACCCACCAGACCATCCCAACCCAGCCCGACGGCCCAAATTTGCCCTCCACTCCCAGAGGGAGGTGGGGGGGGGGGGCGTCGGGGACCTTCGAAAGAACACATGTGGAACCCGTTGCCCCCCCCCAACCCGAGATTGGGGTCTTTGGGTTAGGTTGGGGTAGTTTGGTACGGAGCTTGATTCGGCCGGCTCTGATGTGCAGGCGTCTCGACCGACGTGCCTCTAGAGCAGCCTTTGGACAGCTTGTTCGGCCCCGTCATGCCTCTTCCCCACTCCTGCTAGCTGGCCCGACATCCTCTTTCGTCTCCTCCCGCCTCTCTCCCTTGACTTCTCGCACTCGGCCTTCCAGTCAGCTAGCAGCGCACTGGCCGTACAAGGACGAAGATCCTGGTCCCAGGATTGCCGTCGACGGTGTCGGCGTCGCCCCGCTGTCAATTTGTTGGTTTCCTATTCTCTTCGCCCCACACTCCCCTCAGCTAACCAAATTTCCTTCCTCTTCATTCCCCCCTCCTCATTCTCAATCGCTCACTCCCGCCATACTGGTCTCCTTCCCTCTCAAGCCTGTCCCTCAGCCACATTGCCTCTCTCTCTCTCAGTATCTCTCTCTCTCTCTCTGTAAGTATCTCTATGTATCGTTTTTTCTCTCTCTCTCTCTCGTTCTCTCCTTGCCTCTCCTTCCGCCTCCCTCTTACGCAGCCATGCTGCGTAGCCGACGTATCGTGTTAGTTTGTTATGTGACTGGTTTGTTGTATGGGCCGCTCTCTCTCTCTCTCTCTCTCTCTCTCTCTCTGTATACACGTATATATATTTACACACGACTACCTCTCTGGTCATAAAAAGTTTCGGGGGGAAGCAACGTTTCATTCAATCGATCTCACTATCGATTCTACTACTGATATCAATATCCATCTCACCATCGGTCTCAGTATTGATCTCACCATCGATCTCACTATGGATCTTACCACGGGACAACGACGGGACATCGACGGGACACCGACGAGACACCGACGAGACACCGACGGAACACCACGGCGAGATAATCGGGTTTCCGCCCGCCTATTAGGGGAGGTTCGGGCAATTCTCCTACCCCGCCTTAGCAACAGCGGTGTTCTTCCCTCCGCCCGCCAACGTAGTTTTCTGTTGCACGCGTGCACGACACGAACTCGAAACCGAAACCGATGTCCTCCACTTTGATATCACCAGCCAACCTCAGATAGTTTACTTATTGGTGTATCTATATCAGAGTAAAGGGGACCGATCGGTCATTTATTGTCCCTGGGTGCGTGGCTGAAGGGGGGATGCGTGGTGAGGATTATGCTTGTTTCATTGTTGCGGTGTTGTTGTTTGTTCATAGTCGTCGTCACACATGCGACCCACCCGCGACCCACCCCACGACCCACCCCGCGACCCATCCCGCGACCCACCCTGCGACCCATCTCGCGACACATCCGCGACCCATCCGCGACCCACCCGCGACCCACCCCGCGACCCATCCGCGACCCACCCGCGATCCTCCCGCGACCCACCCCGAGACCCACCCGCGACCCACCCCGCGACCCATCCGCGACCCACAGTGACCCACCCGCGACCCACCCGCGACCCATTCCGCGACCCACCCGCGACCCATCTGCGACCCTCCCGCGACCCTTTCGCGACCCACCCGCGACCCACCCGCGACTTACCCACAGTGGTTTAACGAAAAAGTCGGCGCCTGCTGCGGGCTCGTTGTATAATTTGTGAAAAATTGGCGCTAGCGACGGGCGTCTCCAGAGTCTCCCAGACTGCCGACGCCCCCACCGCCCCCTCGTTCTTATCCGCATCTGCGGGGTGCTATGTATTTCTAGATCTGCCCGGCATATACGCATCTACATACATATAGATGTATATACATAGAGGTGTGCGAGTGCGTCTTGCTCGTGTTCGTGTGGCCTACACTCGTGTACACATATGTGCGCATATCAGGAAATGTGTATACACATGCTTGCGTATGTGTCAACATCCCCTCCTATGTCCTTCCTTTTCCCCCTCTGGTCTATCTCTCCCGTCCATTATCCCTCTCCTCCTCGCTCCTCCTCCTCTTTCTCCTCCTTCTCCTCCTCCTCCTCCTCCTCCTCCTCCTCCTCCTCTGTTCTCCCCCACATCCTCTGTCTTTAACCCCCCTTACCCTTCCGGCGTGCTCTCCCACCTTCTCCCCCTCCCCGCTTACCCCTCGCGCGCGCGCCTTGCGCGCGGCGGGAGGGTGGAGGGGGGGGGGGAAGTCAGGAGCGAGGAGTGAGGCAAGCAGCGAGGGAAGGGGGAGAAGGCGGGGGTTGGTAGTTGGAGAAGAAAGGGGAAGGAGAAGGAGGAGGAGGAGGTTGCTCCCCTCCCTTGCTCCCATCCTTCTCCCCCCTCCCTTAATCCCTTTATACCCGCTCACCTTCCTTCATAACTCATCTGGAGGCTGTCAAAAGACCCCGAACAAATTCCGAAGAGTTCCTGAGATCCTTCGACGGCCTTCCAAAGACCAACTCCAATTCTACGCCCCGGATGGAGGCGGATGGAGATCGAGACGGAGGAGGGGATGGGGGATGAGAGAGCAAACCATGAGTTACCACCACCACGTTCGCGACACGACCAGAGGACCAGACTGATACTCGGTGGTGCACTGGAAGACATGAAGATCAAGTACAACGGCGACCGCAATATTCGCATCGATGCAGCACTGGCCGACCAAGTATATCCACGACATTATCGAACGACCCGACGTGCACCCTACCAATGCTAGTTGGACCACGGCATCTACACATGTATCGCAATGACCCTACACAAATTTGGGAGGCGAGTGGTCAAAGGACCTCGCAAGGACAGCAGCGGTACTGGACAAGATCAGCTGTACATGCGAGCCATCAGAACCGTACACACCCGACAACACGGTCCGTTCTTATTCTTCAGCCACACATGCCAGCAACATGAGCTTTCCGCCGCCACATTTCTTCAACCGAAGAAAAACATTGTTTGGGTCCCCCGTCCCTCCTCCCCCTCATCACCCTCCCTCCGCCACATCCTCGAACGTCCACAGCTTCCCTGATCCGATTGCGCATAACACGATGGGGTCATTTTGGGAAAGCCAGGTTTGCTACGACTCTCGTCGGAGGATGGAGAACACATCAGCGCAATCGGAAGTGATGGGCGGGAAGGGCAGGATGTCAACTATGGCGCGAGCAGACCCTGCTTGCCTCCCCCCTGCCTCTTACCCCCTCCCTCCTCTCGACGGAAGCATCACGGGGACCATGATCAAGATGTCGCGGGATCTCGTCGTTGCCGATCTCGGTCATGGTCCGGTCGGCAGCCGCCGCGTCGCGAGGACGACCCACGAGAGGACGCTGAGCAAGATCGACGGTGACCAAGATCGACACGACGCTTCCGCGTCCAGTCTTTGTCACGGTCCCCGATCACGTGGCATCTCGTTTTTTCCGAAACGGGCCCCCGACCTCTCGACCCCTTTCCCTGGGGCCGGCTTCTCCCACCCCGAGTCGTGCTCGACGGCCCCGAGGCCCGGCGAGGGCCAAGAGATGCTGAAGACTAGGAGACATCTCCGTCTCGGCTGTTTCGAGTTGCCGGCTGTCTGGGTCCCCGTGCTCCCCCCCTCTCTCAGGAGGGAAAAACACACACAGACACAATGAATCGTCGGTTCCCCAGAAAATATGGGAAAATATGGGAAGTGGGGGGGGAAGACAAAAACCCAGAAAATATGGGAAGACATGGGGAATATTTTTATTTGTGTGTATTGGGGCCCCTTCATCCTCGCCCCCCCTGCGGGCCCAGGGCCTCGAGCCACTTCCCGCGTGCCCCCGCTCGATCCGTCCTCGATCGACCCTCGATCGATTCTCATCGATGGAGGGATCGATCGAGCACCGATCGAGGCTCGAGGATCGAGGCTCGACGATCTGCACTCACCTCGAGGCTGGATCCTCGATCGATCGATCCTCGAGGGAGCCTCGAGCGATCCTCCTCGCCCCCCCGGCGGGCCCGGCCCCGCTGGGCCAGTGGCGGCCCCCGCCCCCCCCCCCGTCTGTGTCCGAGAGGCGCGCGCGCGGCTCTCCAGCTCCGCGCGCAGAGGGGGGGGGGTGCGGTCAGCCCGATTGGCAAGGGCGGGATACGCTGTTCCCGGCGTCGTGAGGGACCACATCCCAGAAAGAATTGCGGGCACCCAGAAGAGTATCGAAACAGTGTCGAACGAGTATCGCCGCCCAGGGCCCGACACGTAAAAACCATGCAATGCCGGTATTATCCTTGTGCTCGACATTCTTCCTTTCAGCCACGCGCAGAGGGGGGTATGTGAGAGGGGGGAAGGATGCTTAGAAGCACCCCTGCTTCTTAGAAGGCGCGGGGCGTAAGGCCGACGTCTTCTAAGAAGCAGCCTCCCAAAAGCCTTCCCCTCCCCCGAACCCCCTCTGCGCGCCGCCAAAGAAAAGGGGGGGGGGATCAGCCCGCCTGACAAGGTTGGGCAACCTTCCCCCAAGGATACCTCAGGCGGGGAACGAACAATGACATAAACATAAAACTCGGCGTCCGCGCGGATTTCTCGGATCCGCGCTGGGGCCCCCCAGCGGCTCCTTCGGCGCTGCCCCTGGTGCGCTCCGCGCGCCAGGGAGGGGTTCCAGCGCAGATCCCAGAAAGCCGCGCGGAGCGCCAAACATTTGTCCTTTATGGGAAGCCCCCCCCCCCCCCTCCCCTGAGGACCCCCCTTCCCCCAAGAGCCCCCCCAAAAGTAAGTTTCTGCCCGTGCCGTTTTTCCTGCGTCGAGTACGGGCAGCCCCCCCCCTCCCCTGAGGACCCCCCTTCCCCCAAGAGCCCCCCAGAAGGTTCTGCCCGTGCCGTTTTTTTCCTGCGTCGAGTACGGGCAGCCGCCCCCCCCCTCCCCCAGGGGCCCCGCCCTCTGTGCGCGCGGCCCACGGCTGCCGCAGGAGCCGGAGAGCGCGGCGCTGCAGCACGCGCTGGGCGAGCTGCGCGCCGACGCCGGCGGCGGGCTGCAGGCCGTCGGCCGGTCGGCCCCAGGATCACCACCCACCAAACCACCCCGACCCAACCCGAAGGCTCAACTTGACCCTCGATTTCCAGTTTGGGGGGGGGTCGGGAACCATCGAAAAAACACGTATGGAACCCTTGCCCCCCCCAACCCGAAATTCGGGTCTTCGGGTTGGGTTGGGGTGGTCTGGTAGGTAGTCACAGGTAGCGTTGGCCAATGGAGGAGAAGGCACCCAGAGCCGCTAATTGGCGTGTGCAGTGGAGGCCCATGCCAAGAAGCACCCTGCTTGCCTCCAGGGTGCCCTGGGTTGCTTGGGTTTGATCGGCGTGCTGTGGGAAGCGTCACGTTCCCACACACACCCACAATCGATGGACGTCCTGTGGTCTCGGGGTTGGGTTTCTTGTGGAAGGTTTCATGTGGACTGGCCTCCACTGTACTAAACAGCCCTGCCCGGTTCGATTCCTTCTTTGGGTGCGTTTGCTCATCGGTTTCGCGCGTCGGGGTGGAAGTCGGGCATGTCTTTCTACAGGAGGACCGTTCAAGAATAGTAAACTATAGCATGGTGGCGATTTGTCGTCCTCTTGTCTGGTTTCTGTTTGATGATTGTTGATTCTTTATTCGTCGTCCAAAACCCGCATGGAGGAGGACATGCCCGATTAAGAGCAGGAGATTGGGTCGGAGGATCGCGCCGCATCACCGATGCATCGCCGATGCGGATCGATGTCGAGCCCGAGTTTCTCCGCGCCAGCGTCGCCGACGCACCGCCGGCGTCGCCGATGCATGGCCGATACGGCGGCGATGCATCGGCGATGCGGCGCGATCCTCCAAACCCATCTGCTCGGACCCCGGGCCAGCTTGGAGGCTTCTAGCATTCAAGGCGGGCGTCACGCCCGTATCGGCACACCCCCCACGCGTTTCGTGGCCCCGCAGGGAGCTTCACCTGACGGCCCAGAGGCACCGTCCACGCGTGGGCGGTGCGGAGGCAAGGGGGCAGCTCGGGCTCCGAAGGGACTCGCTGTGCCCCGGGGCCTTCCATGCCACGGGTGCTCCTCGTACACCCGTGCGATCTTTCTTGAGACGGCCTTCCGACCACTGCCGCCGACCCTGAAGGGGGACGACGACAACAGCACCGACGACGACGACGGCGACGGCGGCGGCGGCGGCGGAGGCGGCGGCGACGACGCTGACGCCCTGGAGCCCTTCTTAGGGCTCTCTTGGGAGCCTCCCTGGAGCCCTTCTCAGGGCTCTCTTGGGAGCCTTTTGGGAGATCTGGGGCCTCTTCGAGGCACGTGGGGAAGCAGGCAGCACCCCGCAGCAGCAGAGAAAGAGTGAGGAGGGTGCCTCTGGGGGGGCGGCACGGGCGGGGGCGGGGGGGGGGGCGGCGGTGGCCCCCTCGTCCCGGCTCCACCCCCCCCCGAGGGCGGGCCTCCCGACCCCCCAGGTGGTCCCCCCCCCCCGGATCCAAGCCCCCAGGTGATCCCCCCCTGATCATTTGGAGAAAGAGCCACGCACGAAACCGAAACAAGAACAGGAAACGGGCGTCCGAGGGATGGCCAGACCCTGGGTCCTCCCACGGGGCTTGACCCCTTGGGCACACCCCCTCCTGGCAGGGAATCTCTAGGCCTCCTAGATGGAGTCCGAATAGATGGGGTCGGAGGAGCGCGCCGCATCGCCGATACATCGCCGATGCGGCTCGATGTGGGGCCCGATTTGCTTCACGCCGACGTCGCCGATGCAGCGCCGACGTCGCCGATGCATTGCCATTGCATCGGCGATGCATCGGCGATGCATCGACGATGCGGCGCGATCCTTCGACCCCATCTACTCGGACCCCATCTAGGAGGCCTCGAGGGAAGGGATCAAAGGGGAGGGGCTTTGCTGCGGGGTCGGCGCCCGTTGGCCAGAGCCTGAGGTTGGAGGAGCTCGGCCCGCCGGCACTCGTGCTGAGCTCCGTGTCGGAGGAGGGGGCTGCCCGATTCTTCCGGCAGGAAGTGGGGGCAGCAGATTGTTTGTATGCTCCAGGGCGCCACCGGGTTCATGGAGAAGGCGCTCCTTTGCAAGTACGTCGGCTACGGCACCGCCTGATCCCCAGGCTTTGCCTCCTCCCGGCCTCGTGCTGAGGCTGCGCCCCCCTTTTCCTCCCCCTTCTCTGGTTAATTCAAGCTTCGCGCGGCCCGCTTAGTTTCGACCGGAAGAGGTGCGCTCTCGACCCGCGAATCAAACAACATTGTTTGCTCCACGGCCGCGGGGCAATGATGTCTTTGAGAGCTCGTCCGTCGTCTTGCAACGTCATCCTGTCGGCCCCCCTGCCAGGGTCAGAGAAGCTCTCAGGAGGGAAGAGGATCAGGCTCCCCCTGTTACTCCTCCTAGGGAGCCTGATCCCCTCCTCGAATCAACGGACGTTGACTTGCTTCAGCCCACTCTGGCCGCGCAGGCCTCGTCCCTGCTTGTGGAGAGTCGGGTTGTTGCGGTTTGGGCGTTTTGTTTTTGTCCCACTCTGCCCGCCCTCTTACACGTAGAGGTGGGCCTTACCCAGTCGACCAGACCATCTGCGTCTCGTCCTTCTGGTTGTCGGGTCCTCCCGAGCTCCCTGTGCTTGGCTGGTCCTGGCTCGCGTGGTCGGCCTCCGTCGCTGGTGCCACATGCGATGCTTTGTTTGCGCTGCTGCCAGGGCGCTGCGCTGCGAGGTGCACGTGTAGCACGAGCGTCGGGCTTCCTTGCTGCCGCACACTTCGGGGTGCTGTACTGCTGCTTTCTGGCCAGCCTCTCACCCTGTTTGTTCTCCGCCCCCGATGGGCGCCTTGCAGAGTTTTCTTTTATGTAAAATCTCAAAGGGAAGGGGCTCCCCTTCGAATCAATTACGACGTTGTTTGGTCTCCGTCTGGCTGGATCGTTTGGGGAGGCGGCGGGAGCGGCGGCTCCCCAAACAGGCTCCGGCAGACGGGCGGAGGAGGGAGGAGGAGGGAGGAGGAGGAGGAGGAGGAAGAGCCAGGAGGAAGAGCCAGGAGGAGGAGGAGGAGGAGGAGGAGGAGGAGGAGGAGGAGGAGGAGCCAGGAGGGGGAGGAGGAGCCAGGAGGGGGAGGAGGGGGAGAAAGAGGGCCCAGGGAAGGGGGGGGGAGCGGCGGCGGCGACGAGGGCGGCTCCAGCGGGAGTCGTTCCCCCCCGGCGCTCCTCGCGCGCCCGTGCGATCTCTCTAAGCGGCGTTGTTCCTGGCAGCAGCCTTGGTGTGCGCCCTCCGGGTTTGGCCAGGGAGGCGCACAGTCGGGGCCCTGAAGAAGGAACCCTTTTCGTTGGGGAGGGGCTCCGCGTTCCTCAAGTGTTTCGCAGCTTGCCTCAGGTTTCCCCAAGGTTTTCGATGGGGAATCGAAGTTTAACTTATGGGAGAAAGGGGCCTCGTTCCTTATTCAGGGTTCCTTAGGTCAACGCCCTGACTGTACGCCCTCCTGGTCTGGCCAGGGAGGCATATGCACCAACCCTTGGTTTGGTAGCAACCTATAGGAGCCTCGTGTACCATGGCAACTCTGTCTCTAGAGCTAGAGTGCACTGGCGTCGCAGTATCTGGAAATCGGTGAGATCGCACCGATGTGGCGTCGATGTTGCGTCGATTAGCGTCGATTGGTCCATGCGTCGATTAGCGTCGATGTTTGCAATAGCCAGCAAGATGGACCAGGACGTTCCTGCAGGTTGTCGCAGAAGGTGGCAGGGTTAAGTTCCAGGCCTCCCGAGGTGACGTATGGAGCAATGTGCTGGATCAATCATTCGCGTATCCGTTTGAGTGCTCACGGGCGCTTCGGCCCCGGCCCGCGGCACCTACAGGATGCGCATTGCGGGTCGCAGTCGCAGTCGCAGTCGCAGTCGCAGTCGCAGTCGCAGTCGCAGCCGCCTCCCAAATAGGGTCCGAGCAGATGGGGTCGAAGGATCGCTCCGTATCGCCGATGCATCGGCGATGCGGCTCGATGTGGGGCACTACTTTTCTCCACGCCGACGTCGATGCATCGCGATGCATCGGCGATGCGGCCCGATCCTTCGACCCCATCAATTAGGACCCCATGTGGGAGGCCTCTTTTAGCGCAAACGGCGCACAGCGCGCATGTTTGGGCTCAGCAAGGGCGCGTTGATGCCAGTTGGCGGTGCTCATGGGGGCCGCGTGTGAGCAGCCCGGGGCCCGTGCGATGCGGGGAGGGATCAGGCGATTGACGGAGCGGGGGAGGGGAGAGGGAGTGTATGCAATTGGTGGCCACCATGGGCGATTCGAGGATTACCAGCCTGTTGCTGATAGGGGGCACGCGTATTAGCATTCCGGTTTCTTCCTTCACAGTTCAGGCGATGGCTCTTGACGAAACAGCCTGGGGCCTTTTCCAGTTTAGTTGCCACGAGCAGGTTGCCGTCACATGAGTGATATTTAGGCTTGGCGGATGGCATGAAACGAATGAAGACGCGAGGGGGCGGAACGGGAGGTGAAGCGAGCTAGGCGGGGATGGGGATGCAGCGGCATCGTTTTCCTCCTTGCCTCCTGCGTCTCCTCCCCCCCTCCAGAGCAACGTCTGGGTGGATGGGCTGGCAGGGGCCGACAGCCCGCACGCCCAGGAGCGTGCGGAGTCGCTGTCCGGGGAATCGTCGACTCCAGCTCGATGTTCCCCCCCCTGACCCCCCGCGGCAGGTACTGGGGTAGCTCGAATCCTGCAGGATCCTGTCACGCCGTATGTTGGTTGAGCCGAGTGTGGTAACCGCCTCATGTCCGGGAGGTGCCCTTACGTGTTGGTTGAGCCGGGCTTGGGAACATCTCTAACAAAAGTCACGCCGTATGTTGATTGGTTGAGCCAGGTTAATCCGCGCCGGAGGCGGTCTCGTTGTCGTGGGCGCCGCCGTCGTCTTCGATGTTGTCTCGCAGAAGGTCCTGGCAGCTGCAGACAGCTTCAGTCGGAGGGGGGTTGGTGAAGATGACGTCGGAGGTGTTCGGAAGGTCGTCGGAGGTTTGCGGGAGGCCGGGACGGTTCCCACCTGCGCCTCGTCACGCTCGATACGGGCATGCCGAAATCGCCCCGAACGGCCACCAGAGGCCCACGTTCCCGTTCAGCTTGCCCGGAGAGGCCCGACAGGGGGAGGGCCAGTCGAGGCAATTGCGGCTCTCACCTCATTTTGTGTTCGTTCACGTTGGGCTTCTCGAAGCTGGACCTCTCTTACCAGTTTGAAACATATCCCTATCCCTATGTTGGACATGACCTCACCTCGATGCCGATCTTGAGGAATCCCTCAGTTTCTGAGGGCCTATCCCTAAGATCGTCCTCGCTTTTTGCTCGCCCACCTTAGGGATAGGGATACGTTCGAGGCTGGTTAACGTTGGGCCTCTCGAAGCTGGACCTCTCCTGGAGCGCGGTCTGACTGGGCTCTCGATGACGCTACATCCGTGGCGATCGGGCGCCTGGAGGCAGACAATCCTTGGCCAGAATTTCTTTTCTGCGGGAAGAGCGCGTACAGGAGGAGGAGGAGGAGGAGGAGGAGGAAGAGGAGGACCATGTGGTGTAGGAGGAGGAGGAGGGGGAGGAGGAGGCAGGGAGGAGGAGGAGGAGGAGGTGGAGGGAGGGAGGAGGAGGAGGACCATGTGGAGGAGGAGGAGGAGGAGGAGGGGGAGGAGGAGGAGGAGAAGGAGGACCATGTGGAGGAGGAGGAGGAGGCGGAGGCGGAATGAGGGAGGGAGGGAGGGAGGGATTGTCCGTGCAAAGTCAGAGCCTCAAACTAGTCATCAAGCTCGCCCTTGTCTTGGCACGATCCACCGAAGAACTGCCTTTCTCGCCGCTTCTGCGCCTCGGTGCTCCGCTCGCGTTCCCCTCCCGCTCTTATCCTTCGCCCCCCTTTTCTATCCTTGGCCACTCCTTGCTCCCATTATCCGTCATCCGGTTGGCCCCAGAGGTGGCCCTCAAGGCTTTGGTATCAGACCTTCCCTCCTCTCTTCTTCGTCCTCCCTCCTCTTCGTGACTGTCCAGACCGTTGCGGCACATGCACGAAAAAACACAAACAAAACAAAACAACATAAACAAAACACCACACAACACACACCAACATAACACAACACACAAACACACTGGACGGAGCATAACAGGCAAACCAACACAACAACCACACACGCACACAAACATGACTAAATTATAGGTCTGACGTTGCACACGCAAGAGGGAGGGAGGGAGGGAAGAAGGGAGGAGGAGAAGGAAGAGGAGGAGGAAGAGGAGGTGGAGGAGTTGGCAGGAGGAGGAGGAGGAGGAGGAGGAGGAGGAGGAGGAGAAGGAACGGGGGGGGGGAGGAGGATGAGGGCAGGAGGAGACGGATCGGATCATGAGCGCGAGAAGGAAGGAGGGAGAGGCGCACGCGGAGGGGGGAGGCGGAGGCAGGAAGGGCGGTGGGCAGGAACAGCATCTGCGGGAGGGGGGAGGAGGCCCCCCCCCCCCGACAGGCCACCCTGTACCACGTGCTGTTTGTGTCGCCCGAGCTGCAGATGGACAGGCCCGCGTGCGGCCCCGGGCGCCGTCGCTGTCGCCGTCGGTCGCGTCGCGACGACCGACGGCGCGTCGCTCGCTGTCGCCGTCGGTCGCGCGCGCCGTCGGTCGTCGTCGGGCGCTCCTCCTCCCTGCCCCCCCTCTCGCTCGAATCTTGGCCCCTGGCTCTCTTGGCCACCCTCCTTCTCCTCCCAAGAAGAGGAGGGCGAATTAGGAGGAGGACGGGGAGGAGAAGGAGAAGGAGGCAGGAGGCAGGAGGCAGGAGGCAGGAGGAGGAGGAGGAGGAGGCATGAGGAGGAGGAGGAGGAGGAGGAGGAGGAGGAGGAGGAGGAGGAGGAGGAGGAGGAGGAGGAGGAGTGGGAGGAGGAGGAGGAGGAGGAGGCGTGAGGGGTTGACGAGGAATGGGGGGGGGTCTTGGCCCCCTGCCCTGGCCCTCTTGACCTCCCTCCTCCTCGGAGGCTGGCCCCGGCCCAGCTGGAAGCGGGCCGCCAGCCCAAGACTTGGCAGCCACTCTCTCGAGGTTTCCTAGCTGGGGTTGGATGAGATGGGGTCGGAGGATCGCGCCGCTCCGCTGATGCGGCGCGATGGGGAGCCTGATTTCCTTCACGCCGGCATCGCCGATGCGTCGCCGACGTCGCCAGTGCATCGCCGATGCATCGTCGATGCGGTGCCGATGCATTGGCGATGCGGTGTAATCCTCCGACCCCAATCTACTCGCACCCCATCTGGGAGGCCTCTACTCGTGACCTCCCTCCTTCTCGGACGCGGGTCCTGGCACAGCTTTGAGCGGGCCACCATCCCAAGACTCGGCAGCCACTCTCAGCGCCTGGGGTCCAGGGGTAGTCTTGGTTCCATTGAAGAAGGACAAACAAAAACACCAAAAACATATCTATGTTGGCGCTCCTGGCGGATTTCTTGGATCCGCGTTGCCCCCCCCCCCCCCGCCCCAGCGGCGCCTCCGGCGCGGAGGTCCGCGCGGATTTCTCGGATCCGTTTCGACCCCCCTGGCGGCGCCTCCGGCGCCGCCCCTGGCGCGCTCCGCGCGCCAGGGAGCGGGGCCCAGCGCGGATCCCGGAAGTCCGCGCGGAGCGCCCAGTTTATGTTATTGGCGTTTTTTTCTCCTGATCCAGGTGCGCCCTGAAGGAGGGGTCTCCTGCCGCGTTCCCGATTACCTTCCAGGAGGGGTCTCTAGTAGATCTGTGTATGTGCAGGGGGCTCGACTTGAACGGTGTGCTGGCTGTTTCCATGGCCGTTTTCGTTCTGGCTTCGTTTCGCAGCACAGGCGGACCGAAGACAACACGTGGGAAGACGAAAGCCACGCGAGCACGGAGCACACTGTTTAGGCCGAGCCCTGTGTCTGTGAGCAGACGCAGTCATCTTTCAGGCGATCGCAACATGGATCAGGGGGGCGTGGATAAGCGACGGATCCCGTTTCCATGGGAAGTCCCGGAGTTCCGCCGCCGAGCGAGGCGGCACTGGCCGCATTTTGGGGAGGGCACCTCCCCCGATCCATGGACTTGGCGACCGCGCGCCAGATCCATGGATCGCCAGTCCGTGTTTGCGCGCCCCCGATCCTCCCTCCTATCTCCCTCCCCCTCCCTCCCTCCTTCCGTAGCCATTTTTGGCTCAAGGTGGCTGGCCCTGCCAGCGACTGGCACGCGGCACGCCTGTAGGGTTTCCTCATTCTCTCCGTGATGTCTGCTGCTCCACACACGATCACTGCTGATCTTCATGGGGAGTTGATCCGACGGCTTTCGTTAGTTGCTGGCACGCACTTCGAAGGTCTCGAGCAGGCGGGTCGTGTTCTTCGCCGAGCTGGTCGTATTACAACCGGCACTGCGCACAAGCTTGCCCGCCTGGGCCACGCCTACAACCTGACCCGTCATGTCACGTGTGTTTCCGCTACCAGCTTCCTGGACTCGGTGATGATGGAGGTGGGCGGAACGCCATGTTCTACGGGTTTGCAGGCTACGGCATCACAGCCTTCAGATGCTACGTTGAAGACTGCGACTTCGGCCTCACTGTTTTCTTCGCCTGCATTGACGGCTACTTCGACATTGATGACTGCTCCCACGTCGGCTGCCCCTCCACCGAAGGTTTCGACATCACCGCCTCCAGAGGAGGCCCTGGGAGCTGTCCATTCAGTTCCTCATCGTGCCGATGGTGTGGTCTCTGCTGGTAGTGTCGGCGATGCCGCACTTCCCTCCGAAGTTCGACTGGGTGAAGCTCCTGTTCGTGCAAATCTGCTCCATAATGACGATACTCAGGGTGATGGCGTCGGCACCTACGACGTGATGTCGACGTTCACCGTTACCATCTACCAGCCGTGCCTCTGCACGGCCACTGTTCCTGACGGCCGCGGTAGTGGGCCCGGGTCCCTCGGCACGGCGACCCACGACGCGAACATCTCTGCGACGGGCGACTACGTGATCCCTGCGATCCCGTTCGCGTTCGCCCCGAACTCGTTCCGCCTCTCTGAGCCCTGCGATGCGTCCGACCGCGTTCGATACCGCGGCAAACGCGCGGTATGAGGCAGATCCTTCCTCCACCTCCTGCTGTGTGCTCTGTAGCTGCGGGTGGGGGTGGGATGACGACGACGTATGAGTGCGGATGGGAGGATGTCTGAAGTCTCTCTTTAGGCCGCCTCCTTGATGATTTTCCGGAGCCTCCTCCCCGTCTCCCCCACGCCCTTGCGCTGAGCATGTCGGCTATCCAGGTCTCTCTTGCGTTCGGGTTGTGGAGGTTATCTGATGAGATTTGTAAGAAGGCAGGCTTCAGAGGTACCTCTCGAATCTGTCTTGTCTCTCTTTGCGCGCTGGCAGCCTGAGGGAGGTTGAGGCTGTGTGCTGAAGCCCTCTGCGCAGGAGTTTAAATTCAATTCCCCCAGGCCGTTCCAGCGTCGCGTTGACTTACTCGGGCCCTCGACTTTTCGTGCCCCTGTTTTCTTCGGTCGTGGCCCTCGCTCGGCGCTGTCTGGGTCCTGGGTCTCCGTCCCTCGTTTCTTTCGGCCCCTCTCGGGCCCATCGCTCGTCGCCTCGGCGCTACGGGCAGGAGTGTTCGGCAGTCGATCACCCGCGAGCAAATCAAACAATCATCCCTCCCTCCTCTCCTCCTCTCCCTCCCTCCTCCCTCCTTCCTCCCCCCCTCCCTCCTCCCTCCTCCCTCCTCCCTCCCTCCTCTCTCCTCCCTCCTCCCTCCTCCCTCCTCCCTCCCTCCCTCCTCTCCTCCTCTCCTCCCTCTTCCCGCTCGAGCCCTGCTCCGTCTCCGGCGGGGCGGGGCGGGGGCGGGGGCGGGGCGGCGGCCTCCCCGCGGCGTGCTCCGCTCGCCCCCCATCGGGGCCTCCCCTTCGAGGCTGCACGCCAGCCGTCGAGAGCAGGTGTTTTTTTTTGTCCCTGGGCTCCCGATGCCCCCATCGGTGTCAAGCGCGTCCCTGCCTCAAGGATCGATCTGCTTCTGCTCTTCTCTCTTCCGGGGCTCCCCTGGCCCAATCGGTTTCGAGCGTCTCCCCGCCTCGAGGCTCGATCTGCTCTTCTGCCGTGGTCTGCTCTCCTCCCGGGAAGGCCCTGAGCCCCGTGTGCTCGCTCTGCCCTCCTGCTCCGCGTCTGTGCCTATACCTCTTCTGAACGACGTGCTCGCGTCGCCGCCGCTGGACCCGCCTCGCACAACGGGCGAGGATGGGCCCCCCCGGTGAGGGTCCGGGGGCCGATTTTCCCCGATCAGTGCTTGCACTGAAAAGGTCCTAGCGGAAGTTGCAGGATTTGGCGAAAGTTTGCCCCCGATTTTGGTGGCAGGATGGGTTCCCGGGTGCCCGGTCCCAGGTTCACGGGTTCTCGGTTGCTGGTTTTGGGCCGATTTCGGTAGGTGTTGGGTTCGCGGGATCCCGGGTTCCCGGTCGTTCTCCGCGAAAACCATTCACTAATTGGGCTTTTCCTCTGGTGTAATTTTCTTGTTCCCAACAACCTCGCAACTTTTCGCGGCTATGCTCGATAAGCACAGATGTTGAGTTCACTTGGGCCAGGTGGGAGGGCCGCCGTTGTGTCTCAAATGGCATTTTCTCCGAGTCTTCTGTTTCTCTGGAGTGGATGGAGGAGGAGGAGGAGGAGGAGGAGGAGGAGGAGGAGGAGGAGGAGGAGGAGGGAAGAGGAGGGAGGAGGAGGAGGCGGACCAGTGTAAACTCAATGCGCATCGACGATGCTGTTCTCTACCATCCCTCCGAGCTTCCTCTTCACAGGTCCCTACAGGAGCTTCTTGCGATTGAAGACAACCGTCTGAGGATGCGTGCTCGCGCCAAAGCAAAGTTCCTGGGACTTCAACGCCGCGTATCCAGGTGATGGGACTTAACGCCGCGGACCCACCTGGTTGTTGCGTCCTCACAATAATGCGTCGTGCCATGTTATTGTGTCTGAGACTTCGGCCATGCGAGCCCATGAGACAGTCGCAAGCCTTTGCAAAGAATGGGCGCGGTGGCACAGCGAGAGCAGCTTTTTGAGAATGAGCGGGCGGAGGTGGACTTCTCTCTCGCGCAAGAGCTGGGGGCGCGGAGGAGTGGAGAGGGAGGAGAGGTGGAGAGGGAGGGAGGGAGGGAGGGAGGGAGGGAGGAGGAGGAGGAGGAAGAGGAGGAGGAGGAGGAGGAGGAGGAGGAGGAGCAGAAGGAGGGAGCCGTGGAGGGAGGAGGATGGAGGGGAGGGGTGGAGGAAGGGGAGGACAGGGACACCCACACCTTGGAGCCCCCACTCGCGAGCGCACTGAGGATGTTGGCCATAATATGCACACGCGCTCGCTGGACATGCATGTTTGTGCAAGCGTGTGTTACTGCATCCCCCTTCGAGATGCCAAGCCGAGCGCTGCGGCACCGCGCCCTCCCCCCACCGGCTGAGACGGTTCCCTCGGCAGCTTTACCGTCATCGTTTTGTTGTTGTTGTTATTCATCCTCCTCCTCCTCATCTTCGGACGCCTCCGCCGATGATCTTAGTGCCACTACCGCGGATCCGAACACCGTCTTACCAAGCATGTTGCGCATGATGTGCGTCGCTGGTCGTGGGGCGGGCCTCATTCTTGACCTTGAGAAGTGCCAGCTGTTTCCCTCCACTCCTCGATCTGTTTCGTGATGCTGTTGACGTGCTGGGGTCCGAGGTCGGCGCTTTGGTATCACCCAGTGTGGAGAGCACCTCGGGGTTGGAGGGGGGGTGGTAAGCAGAGAGCGGTCCTGGGCTCCCGTTCTGGTGCGTCTCAAAGAGATGAGTTTGAGGATCAAGGGTGTGAGGCAGGGCCTCTTTGCGAGCCTTGGGGCCTTCACCACTTCTGCTATCCCAGTGGTTGGGCACGTTGCCCAGGTCCATTCGCCTCCCCGTTATGTTGCTGCTGGAGCGAATGACTCGCTCCAGATCCTCACCTGTTGCCCGCGGCACGCGTCCCCCCCCCCCCCGACATCACGCATGGCATGACATCCTTCGGGCACCGAGTGAAGGGTCGGCGTGCTGATATATATATATATATATATATATATATGTCTGTAGATGCCGGTGTATATACATATGTGTATATTCGGGAGCCTCGAGACGGGGGTCAATGCAGACGGGGGTCAGCCAGGGCACCGGATCCTGCAGGATCCTGCGAAGACCCCCTCTGGCTGACCGGGGTTAGCGAGCCGCTCGTGGCCGCGAAGCGGCCGCGCATATTGGCTGACCCTGGTTTGCGAAGGCCTGCGCTGCAGTTCCTTTTCCTGCATTGCATTTTTTTGGTTTCCTGCCGACTCAGGTCTGGATTGACCCGGGTCAGAACATCCCCGATATATGTTTACTTGTATGTATCCACGTGTTTAGGTATGCATGCATGCATCAATTCATGCATGCATGTATTTATGCTTGTATATATGGATGTATGTACGCATGCATGTAGGCGTGCATGCATGCATGTACGCATGTATGTACACTTGGTTTAAAGTGTATATATATATATATATATATGAATATGTGTATACGTGTACAGATGTGTGTATGCCACGATAAATTCTGTGTTTTTGTTGCATCACCGCCGTATTATTGATGAGTACGAGGGCTCGGCTAACGTTTGTGTTATGTCGCAGTTGAGCGATATAATTTGACACAGTACGATGTTGCGGATGCAGGAAGCCTGTGTGCCGTTCTACCGTGCGCGCAGTGGCCCTGACATCACACTTCGTGCTGTGCAAGGCTGTTTTACTAAGATCCTGTTGGCCAGCTTCCCTCTTCGTCTCAGTGCTGGCATTGTTTAGCCGCGAGTTCAGAAGTGGTGCGCGAAAGTCTTCACTTGCCCGCTCGACCGAACTGTATCCCGTTTGAAGTTCATAGGTAAGCATATGCCGTCTTACGTCGTGATTGCCGTAGTAAAGAGCACAGTCAATTGGTGGAATACGATGGGGAGGTATATATAGGTGGTGTGCGGCGAGGTGCAGGATGGGATGTCTTGCAGCGTGATGGTATCAATTTCTGTATTATGCTGTGTGTCTTGTGGCAGTCCAATTCATTCGGCGGCGTGTGCAGATGCTTCCAGAAGACTACGGGACGGATCGTCCCGCCTTTTCCCGCCAGGCTCTGACCGAAGGCGAGCTTCGCTCTCGATGCTCCGCGCTGTTCTGTCTCCGCTCCTCGTCCGCCCCCCTCCCTCCCCTGCCGCCGTCGCGTGGAATCTCCTGGCGGCGCGGTTGCGGACAACAGCCCGCCGCTCGCAGCGTGCCACCGCCATCCTCCGACGCGGGCCCCCCCCGCCGCCTGCCCATCCGTCGGACCAGGACCCTGGACGATCTTCCCGCGGCTTGCGGGCTGATCCCGTGCCCTGCCCCCCCCCCCCCTTCCCTTTCAGTCAGTGGCGTTCCTCCTCGTCTGACGCCTCCATGTCCTTGTCCTGCCGAGGCTTCTTCTTCCCCCCCGCGTCATCTTTGAAGCCCCACGCGACAGGCTCTTCCAGGTCCTCGAAGACCCCGAGCGTCTGACGCCCGCGTACGTGGAGCAGCACAAGGTCGCCGCCGCCGTCGCGGCCTCCGCCCGCCGTCGCCGCCGATATCGTCCTTTGGCCTTGGCGTCTCATTCGCCGTCGTTGTCGCAGTCGTCGGCGTCCGTCCGAGCCGTCGCCCTTGTCGTTGGCTTCCTTTTTTATGTCGTCTTCGGCGTGGCAGCCGGAGCCAGCCGCGTTCGCCCTGCTGCGATGTGCAGAGGGGGCGGCGGCGGCGGCGGCGGCGCGCAGGGGGGCCTCTCGGCCAGGCCGTCCCCCATCTCGCCCAGCGGCCCCTCCCGTCCACACCCCATCCCCCCTTCCTGCCCCTCCTCTTGCCCTTCCCTCCCCGCGTGCCCCGCGGACTCCCCATCATCGTCTGTGTCCTCCTCCTCATCCTGCTCCTCCTCCTCCTCCTCCTCTGCCTCCTGCTCCTCTTCCTTCTCTGCCTTCACTCTCCTGCCCCCCCTCCATCGACTCCACTCCCTCGACCTCAGATTTCTCCTGCTCCCGCTGTTCCTCTTCCTCTACCTCCTCCTCTTTGTCTTCTTTCTCCCCGCATCCATCTCGTTTGCCTGCTCGTCCCCTTCCTTCGCATCTCCTCATCATCCGCCTCCTCACCGCCCTCCTTCCTTACCCTCCCGCATCCTCGTTCTCGTTTTTCCCGTTGTGTTCCTTTTTCGCTGTAGTCCGGTCCACTCCGGAGTCTGGTTCGCAAGGGGAATGTTGCACTGTATATGAGTCGATCCGTCATTCGGCATTCGACATGGTTGGAACAGACATATGCCCAACCATTTGCCTGCAACCATCTTGCACCTTCCTGGCATCATCCAATCAATGTTGGGTGTAAAGAAATGATTCAGGAGAAAAACCCAATCAGAATTGTGTCAGAGCTATAGGCCTGTGGGGCTATAGGGCTATGGGGTGATAGGGCTATAAGGGTATGGGGATACAGGGCTATAGGGCTAGAAGGCTATTGGGATATAGGGCTATACGGCTATAGGGCTATAGGGCTACAGGGCTATAGGCCCATAGGGTTATAGGGTTATACGGCTATAAGGCTGTATGGCATATGGCTCTAGGGCTCTTAGGGCTATGGGGCTACAGTGCTATAGGGCTAATCAGCTATAGGGCTATGTGGCTATAGGGCTACCGGGCTACCGGGCACCTGGGCACCCGAGCACCCGGGCACCCGGGCACCCGGGCACCCGGGCCCCCGGGCCGGCCACCGAAGTCGGCGACACACGTCACCTAAGCATATAAATCCGCTAGGACCCCTACAGAGGCAAGCTCTGATTGGGGAGTAGTTTCCTTAAACGAGATTAGCGGAAACGGTCCAACGTGGCAGTGCGAGCGTGGGCACTCGTGAGACTTGCACCTCGCAGCGCCGACAGTCTGGATCGTTCCATGTCGAATGTCGAACGAAGCGCGCGGTGGCACGGAGCACAGCCCGCGACGTCGTGGCAAGAGCTCGCCGTACGCACGCAGGGCACTGCCAGCACGCACATACAGGCACAGCTGTCACATGCAGAGATGTGATTCAGGATGGGGACAAAAAAACAGACATAATTAATCGTCGATCCCTAGGAACATATGGGGAAATATGGGAAGTGGGGGGGAAGACAAACACCCAGAAACTTTGGGAAACTATGGGGGATATTTTTATTTGTGTGTATTTATGTGTGTGTCCTTGGGCCCCTTCATACACGCAGGCACAGCAGTCACATGCAGAGACGTGATGCCTGGAGCGGCCTCGCGGCCTCGTCCATCGGAGAGGCCTCCGGCGCGGTCGGCATCGACTCGGATGCCATGGCTGGCGATCTGGCCAGGGGCTCGCCCTGCCAGAAGGCTTGCCGTGTGCCCTCCAGGGGGCCAGGGCGGCTTCGCCTGCTGTCTCCTTCCCTGGGGGGGGGGGCCATCAATCGGGAGGGAAAAAACACACAGACACAATTCATCGCCGATTGCCCAGAGCATCTGGGAAACTATGGGACGTGGGGGGGAAGACAAAAACCCAGAAAATATAAGGAAATATGGGGAATCCTGTTATTTGTGTGTATTTATTTGTGTGTCCCAGGGCCCCTTCACTCAAAGAGTAAGTCGGGCATGTCCATCCGCAGGAGGAATATTCAAATTATGCACCGGAGAAAAACCCTGATCAGTGGACGGCCCGAAAGGTTTGCAAGCGCCATGCCTGGCCGCAGTTCCGCAAGGGGGCCCTCAGAGGCTGATTCACTGATTGCCCTTGCGTGTTGGAAGGGTTGTGGCATCCTCGCCATTTTGGGCATCCGTCGGCTCAAGATGGCCTGGGAGGTCCCAGGACGGTGCACAAAGGTCCTAAGATGACCCAGGCGGGCCTCAGGAGGTACCCTCGACGGCCTGAGAGGACCCCTCGACGAGTCAAGAGGGCCACAACACGTCCCCACAACGGTCTGGAAAAACATCAGCATCAGCAAAAGAGAGAAAACAAGAGAGAGAGAGAGAGAGAGAGAGAAAAAAAGAAAGAAAGAAAGAAAGATAACCAAAAAACAGCGAGGGGGCGCCCACAGACAGCCGCCTATCGAGAGCCGCTCACCGAAATCGGCCGGCTACTTTCGCCAATCTCTTGGGGGGGCGCCCACCGAAAGCCGCCCACCGAGAGCCGCCCACCAAGTCGGCACGCTACTTTCGCCAATCCCTTTTATGTCCGCTAGGACCCCTTCAGTCTAAACACCGGTTTGGGAAAACGGTCCAAAGCACAGTCTGGGGACGATGTCCCCTGCCTTTTTTGCATCGTTGCGAATCCTGTTGTATTATGTCTCGCTAACCTTCTAACATCCGCCTGCAGGAGGACGTGCCCGACCCGACTCCAAGGGGGCCTCGCCTCCCAGGCTTCTGCCCTCCTGGTGCTGGCGCGCCATGGCCATCGGGTGCGCCATGGTGGTGCTCACGGGCATCTTGTGGCGCCCGCGGGCGTGTGGTCAAGTCGGGCATGCCCCCATACAGGAGGAATGTTCGGGGATGGTTGACAAATGGTCTGGGGACGGCTTGTTGTGCTCTTTTGCCTACCTTGGAGTGTGTTTTGATTGTTTTTACTGCGAAGGCCTACCGGCCAGTGCCGCCGACCCTGAAGACGACGAAGATGAAAACGAGTGGGGGAGTTGGGGGGGGAAGAGGAAGTGTGGAGGAGGCGGATGAGGGAGGAGGAGGGGGGGAAGGATGAGGAGGTGGAGCATGAGGAGGAGGAGTAGGCAGAGGAGCAGGAGGAGGGGGAGCAGTGGGGGGGCGGAGGAGGAGGAGGAGGAGGAGGAGGCGTTGTGGCATTCTGGGGTCTCTTGGAAACAGCTTTTCATGGTTTCGGGGGCGCTCGAGGGGGAAACGTATCTGGGCGGCGTCCTTTGGCCGTCTGGGAGCCCCCTTCGGCCGTCCTTAGGCGTTCTTGGGCTGTCTTGCGGGGATTGGGACCCCCCCCCTCCTCCAGCGCATCTACAGAGGGCCCCTCTGCAAAAGCCGCGAACGGGGGATGCGAATCTGACCCCCCCCGGGAACCCCGCCCCCCTTCGCCGGGAAAGGGACAATGGGAAGGGGCTTCCCTTTGACGTGACTACGACGTGGGTCGATTTCCCTCAATCCCTGGACTCCTCCCCCCGACGACGGGAGAGTGCTCTCTCCCCAGGGGAAGGATAAACAGAAAAGGCGTCCCGTCGACGGGACCAGATAGACACCCCACACACGCCGACAGGGTCGGCGGATTTTTCCTCAAAAATCCGCCCGTAGGAGGACATGCCCGACCTAAGCGTATGGTCGCTGTTTTTCATTTACTGGGCCCCCATTCCCCTCCCTCCCCCCCATTCCACCAGATCTTAGCTGCTTCTGGCGGCTGGTTTCTGGCGACTGGCCAGGGCCCCTCCCCCAAGTCTGCTGGCGCGACGGGTAAAAGCAGATCGACTAAGCACCGGCCCAGATCCAGACACACTTCCCCCACCCTTCTGACAACTGCCGAAACCCAGGATACAAAAAGCGTCCACATGTTGGTGTTCGTTGGCTCACTGTGGCGGCGGTGCCCTCTGGACTTTCGTTGGCCCTCGTCGGGCTTTGGTGCTCGCAGGCATGTCGCTGGTACGTGCAGGTATGCTCTGGCGCTCCAAACATACCCGGGGGTGGCCATCTCTCCCGCGCATGGCGTTCCAGCAACAGGGTAAAAGGAAAGGGACGATGACAAGGAAGAGGGTGGCGGAGGAGGAGGAGGAGGAGGAGGAGGAGGAGGAGGAGGAGGAGGAGGAGGGCCGAGAATGACGACGACTTCCGGGCCTCCAGAGAATCTTGAAGTTTTCTGGAGGCCCCCGGAAGCCTCCAAAGGTTCAAGCAGGATCCAAATGCGTAGACCAAAGACATCCTCCTCCCCCTCCCCCTCCCTCGACGACGAGGGCCACACTTTCGATGCCAGCCGGTCAAGACAGGCCGCTGTGCACAGCATGGCATGGTGTGGCGCATGGCTTCTGTGCGCGTGCAGTGCTGTTGCTCGCAGGCTCACCGCGGCGTGCACAAGCGCGGTGTGTGTTGGTCGCAGGCTGCACTGCGATTGGCCCGCCGTGCAGATGTGCATCGGACTGTGGTGTTCTGTTGCTGTTCTGGACCTCCTTCGGCCTCTTCAGTGATTGCCAGCGGCCTCTGCGGGCCCTGGAAAGACTTATTGGGGTTTCCTGATGCGTCCGTCGTCGCCGTCGTCCTCGTCCTCGCCGTTTGCCGTCGTCTTGACCGCCCCAACTCCCGTCGTTACCGTTTCCTCACCCTCGCCCCCCCTCCCTGTCCCGCCCCAGGGTAAAGCGTGTTACGCCCGGGAGTGGGAGGGTTGGGAAGTGAGGGAGCACGGGGGGCAGGTGGAGCTGGACGCGCAGTACGAGTGCCTCAACCAGACGCTGCGCGTGGACCTGAGTGAGCTCCGCGCCCCCCGCCCCAGCCAAGGAGGAGAGAGAAAGAGTGGCCCTCCTAAGATTATCTGGGCGCCGTGCAACACATACGAACACGCGACAGGCGCGTTTGCCCCGATCTGGTCCCGAGACCCCCCTGGACGGATACAGCTCGCGCGAAAATGCCGCACGAAGGTGGTCGGGAGCCTTGGTGGTTCTTTAATGGTGTCGGTATTCGAGGACGTATTGATGAAGTGGACGGAGGAAGAATGACGGAGCCAGGAGGGACGAAGGAGGAAACAGCGATGAGAGAGTGAAGGACGGACGGGGTGAAACACAGAGAGGTGGTGGGGAGGAGTGAGGCAGAGCAGGGAGATAGAGACAGAGAGAAAGGGAGACGGAGACAGGGAGGGAGCCGGGATGCGAGAGGAGAGGAAGATGCGGGAACGGAAGGAGGCAGGAGCGAGGAGAGGAGTGAAGGTGGAGGAAGGGCGAGGAGGAGCGAGGGGAGGTGGGGGGGAGGAAGGGGGGCTTCGGAGAGGGAGCCCTCGCCTCCTCTTCCTGGCGCCTCCTCTCCCGCCGAACCCTCCATCGAGCACCCGACTGAGCAGGCACTCGGGCGGAGGATGCCTCAAAGGCCCTTCGCGTCTAGAGCGCTCCGCGGCGAGTGCTGCGCACGGGGCGCGCCCCTCTCATCCGCAAGCGCTCAGTCCAGAGTGCAGCCCTCCTCCCCCTCCTCCTCCTCCTCCTCTCCTCCTCCTCCTCCTCCACCCTCCTCCTCCTCCTCCTCTCCTCCTCCTCCTCTCCTCCTCCTCCTCCTCCTCCTCCTCCTCCTCCTCCTCCTCCCTCCTCCTCTCCTCCTCCTCCCTCCTCCTCCTCCTCCTCCTCCTCCTCCTCCCTCCTCCTCCTCCTCTCCTCCTCCTCCTCCTCCTCCTCCTCCTCCTCCTCCTCCTCCTCCTCCTCCTCCTCCTCCTCCTCCTCTCCTCCTCCTCCTCCTCCTCCTCCTCCTCCTCCTCCTCCTCCCCTCCTCCTCCAGGCCTTGCTCGCCGAAGCTGCGTATTTTCTCGGTCCCACGCTGGCACCCAGTCTGCCCAGAGCGCCATCCTACTCCGGCAGATCGTTCTTCTGTTGGCGTCGCTTGATCAACGGGGCGTGCCCAGACTCAAATCGATTGCGCTACCCGCCCTCGCACCACATCATGCTTCTACCTTGAAGTCGGGCGTGTCTGGGGACGGTGTTTCAAATATTCGTTACTAGTGTTGGATAGTATTTGATTTGTTTTTTTTGTTTTGGATGTTCGTTGAGTTGTTGTTTTTGTTTTTAGATGTTTCGTCTAGCATTTGCGTGGAGGAGGACATGCCGACCTAATTCGACCTCCATCCTCTCGCTCTTCCTCCCGGTGCCGCCCGCTGACCCGGAAGCGATGGCGAGGAGGTCTGGGCATTGCAGTGAGGACTCCAGGGTGCCTTGCGCGAAGTACGGTGATGGAGGATCGAACTCCGACGTCCTTCTGTCGTTTGCGTCGTCGGCGTCGCTGTGGGCGTCGTCGGCATCGCCGACGCCGATCGCCCAGACGCGAATATGCGACTACAGTGGAAATCGATGCCAAGACACACCCTGATTGCCTCCAAGGTGCCCTGGCTTTCTTTGGTTTCGATGGTTTTGCGACGGAAAGCGTCACGTTCCCACACCAAGAATCCATGGACATCATGGTGTCCCTGGGTTGGGTTTCATGTGGGAGGTTTTCTGTGGGCTGGCCCCCACTGTGTGCAGGGAGAGTCGGCCCTCGATCCCTCCGGGGGTCCATGCCCGCAAGAGTTTCGAGCGGGCTCCGGCCGCGGCGACTGGGATGCACTCCCGCAGAGGCACACGCAGAGCCAGAGGACGCCCAACGATCTCGGCCCACTGCCCACTTGGCATCGCTCGGACGTGTGCATTTTTCCTTCGGCGAGGGCCATCGAGGAGCATCCTTGATCATTTTGGCGAAAAAAACACGCACGAAACCGATAAAAAAACACAGGGAATGGACGTCCGAGCGATGGCAGGGCCCAAGACTCTCTGACTCTGTTGCTCCACGACGCCGCCCTCCTGGAGGACGACGCAGGCGGCTGCCCGTTTGGGCCAGATTCCCACCCCCGGACCCCAGGCTGTCCTGTCAGGTTTCAAGCCGACGGCGAATCATACAGTTGCCACAGTGCCCTGGAGGCACGGGCGGGGCTTGACGACGGAGGCGCACCCCAGGGGTCCCTCCGGCGTCTCACGCCGGCTTGTGAGGGGCCCAGGTTCCCGATGGCAGCGCAGAGGCGGACACTGGTTGGCCCGGTCACTTGCCCTCGAGCACTGCAGTTGCTTCGTGACGTCGGCCCCCCGGATTGTCGTTAAATGGTCTAAAATAGTCGGGGACTAGTTTTTGCATATTTTTGACTATTTTTGACTATTGCTGACCAATTTTAAGTTTTCGTTCAAGATCCGCCTGTCGGACGATCTGCCCGACCTAAGACTGTCGACCACATCCTCAGGGGCTGCTTTCCATCCTCAGCGGCTTGTTTGACGGCCCCCATGGGCCCAGAAGCGGCGTCCATAGGCCAAGCACACACGACAAACACATGCCCCACCCACCATTTTTTTCCAAAGCATGGATCTGCGGGTCGGGAATCCGGGTGTGCAGTGCAAACAGGCCAAAAAAGAGAGTTCTGGCCTCCCCGATGGTTATGCACGAGCCGCCGCGGTGTCCCGCGGCCTTGCAGATGGCGACGATCCACGACGACGGTGACCGCCGCGCCACGCCCGGCAGGCCTCCTACTCGCGTCCCCGGTGCTCCGGGACGCGCCCGGCGCCCAGCCTCTCAAGGGGAACGAATCATGGCATAAAACAGAAGCATTCGGAGGTCCGCGCGAAATTCTCGGATCCGCGCTGGACCCCCCCCCCCTTGGCGGCGCCTCTGGCGCCGCCCCTGGCGCGCGGAGCGCGCCAGGGAGGGGGGTCCAGCGCTAGCTGCTCTGAGAAATCCGCGCGGACCTCCGAGTGGTAATGTTCATGGCATTGCTCGTTCCCCTTCTCTCGGCCGGGCTGACCCGCCGGCGTCCCGCCGCCGGGTCGCAGAGGCGCGACGAGCGCCCAGGTTTTCGTGGGGGCTCTGGACGCGGAGTGTTCGGGGTGGCCTTCACCGGCGGTCCAGGCCGCCCAGGCGGGCTCGAAGTTCATACGGGGTCAGTGGATCGTGCCGCACCGCCGCTGCATCGGCGACGCGGCTCGACGTGGGGCCCGATGTTCGCCTCGCCGACGTCGCCAACGCATCGCTCGCGTCGCCGATGGATGGGAGGCCTGCTCGGATCCAGTCTGGGCGGTCTCCACAGAGGCGCTCGGGGCGCCTGCACCTGCAGAGGTTCCCCTGGACTTCCTGGACCTCGGGTTCTGATGTTTCAACCTACTGTAGCCTTGATCACCAGAAAGAATTTCGAACACCCCAAAAAACACAAAACTCGAGGGTTTTCGCGTGTCGGGCCCTGGGAGGCACTCGCCCGACACTCTTTCGACACTCTTTCGACACTTTTCCGGGTTTCTCGAGACTATGTCTGGGATGTGGTCCGTAAGTAGGATGGGAACAACCCGAGCATTTTCTTTGGGTGGAGGGCAAAGGGTGAAATCTGAAATGCCGTTTGGATCTTCGAGGCTTGAATCTGCAAAAAGTGAATCACAAGACGGATTGATTCTCGAGGTGCAGGATCCCGTATGGATTTCACCCTGATCCCTCCACCCTGAGAAAATATCCAGACAACATACAGCGCTGGTTGTAATACATGCTCCGCGTGCGGACCAAGTATAAAAACATAAAGGGTTGATTAATACATACAAGGATGAATTCATGCATACATGTATTCATACATTGATCATGTATTGAACATCCTATGTTTTTTGTGAAACAATCCCTTTTATTAAACACTGCCCTGCAAACCTCGGGGTGTTCGCCATCGGCTGCGGCCTCGTCGAGGGCGCTCCGCCGGGGAGGCCAGGGCCGGCCGCCCCGAGCGGCCGCCCGGGGGGGGGCACGCGCGCTGCGGGCCGGGGGCCAGCGGGAGAGGCTCGGGGCGCTCGGGGGTCAGCGCTTCGGGAGAGAAAAAATCAGAGCCCCGAATCATCAGGGGTAACTCGGGTCAGGGCTGACTCGGGTTCGTTTTGTCGGGATTCCGAGACCGACTGACCCCGGACCCGAGTTGCCCCGGATAACTCGGGCGCCCAGAGCCCCGAATCATCAGGGGTGACTCGGGTCAGGGCTGACTCGGGTTCGTTTTGTCGGGATTCCGAGCCCGACTTACCCCGGACCCGAGTTGCCCCGGATAACTCGGGCGCCCAGAGCCCCGAATCATCCGGGGTAACTCGGGTCAGGGCTGACTCGGGTTGGTTTTGTCGGGATTCCGAGCCCGAGTTACCCCAGACCCGAGAGTTGCCCCGGATAACTCGGGCGCCCAGAGCCCCGAATCATCAGGGGTAACTCGGGTCAGGGCTGACTCGGGTTCGTTTTGTTGGGATTCCGAGCCCGAGTTACCCCGGACCCGAGAGTTGCCCCGGATAACTCGGGCGCCCAGAGCCCCGAATCATCAGGAGTAATTCGGGTCAGGGCTGACTCGGGTTCGTTTTGTCGGGATTCCGAACCCGACTTACCCCGGACCCGAGTTGCCCCGGATAATTCGGGCGTCCAAAAAAACACAGACACAATGAATCGTCGATTCCCAGAAGATATGGAAAAATATGGGTAGTGGGGTCGAAGACAGAAATCCAGAAAGTATGGGGAAACATGGGGGATCCAGTTACTTGTGTGTGTGCTCATTTGTGTGTCCCAGGGCCCCTTCAGGTCAGCGCTGCTGTCTGACCCGGGTGTCGCAGCCACGTGGAGTCGAGCCACCGCTGCCCCTCGAGCTCGGCCGACCCCGGCGTACCATGCGGCCAGGAGACGGGGCTCGTGTCGACTTCTCCGATCCGATGCGATTCGACGTCGACGGCTCTTCCGGTTCCGACTCGATTCGACCTGGGATTCCGATCTCGGTTCACCAGCCTGCGCTTTTCCGCCGAGCCGACTTTTCCCGACTCGGCTGCCGAATTCTGCCGATCCGATTCATTTCGATCGCCGATCCGACTTGTCGATCCGAGTCTGGGCTCTCCTGCCAGGAGGGGTGGCGGCATGGCCTGGGCTCACCCGGGCAAGCGCCATCTTAGGTTGGCGCGTTCCCGAGTCACGACGTGCGTTTATCTTGTGGTTCCCTCTCGCAGGAACCGTTCCTAGCCCTGGGAGCGTGCATCAACCAGGATGCCCGCGATGAGCATGCAGTATTGTTGGGACAGGGGCTGCAGGGTTCCAGTGTCCACGTCATGGAAGCGTCACGACGTCGGAGGTCTGAGGAGAACGACTGCTGTGGGCCGTGACCACTTCTGCGATGGCGACGTCGATGATGGCTCGACGACTACGGCGGCCTGCAGCGATGACATGTGCATTGGTGAACCAATTGTTAGCTCCCGCTCTGGATCCATCTCCCGTGCTCTGCTCGGATTGTCGCTGATGTTCTCGGTTCTCGGTGCTTGCCCAACCAAAGCGTTTTTCCCATCGATTCGTTACTGTCCTTGGAGCCCGTAAGCCCTCGCCTTTCCCCTGTCTCTCGCCTCCTTCCTCCTGCTCCCCATGGCCTCACTCTCGACCTCATTGTTTTCACCTCATTTCTCACTTCCGCATTTCCCCTCCTCCCTCCTTCCCCTCCGCACTCCTTCCTCCTTTCTTGCCCTTCCCATTCCGTCTGAGAATGTGGCGGCCTGCTCAGAAGCCCCGTGGCCTCCCTCAGAAGCCGTCTCTGTCCTCGGGGAGGGCTTAGCCAACTGATCGGAGGGCCCGAGGCCTTCCTGAACGTTCTGAGAAGGCCATCCCCTCTGCATGCACCCCCTAGGCTCGCCGCCGAACAGACGTCTCAGCCCACCTCGTCGTCGTTGCAGTCGCCGTCCTCCCCCCACCCCTTGGCTCCCCGCCGCGCGGCGGGCGGCGCTGAGGTACGACCGCGTCACGTTCGCCTGCGGCCAGCTGCTCCAGTGGGCCCCCGAGGCCGTCAGCAGGCGCCCCCCCCCCCCCGGGGAGAAAGGGGGAGGGGGGGGGGGAGGCGAGGCGGGGGCGGATGATCAGTGATTACCCATCGGTCGTTGAAAGTAGGTATTTTTGGAATCCCATATCCCAATCTACATTAAGCGCCTTCCCACTTCAATTTTCGAGTGGCTTCCCCCTCTTTTCCCTCCTCTTCGGGGGGCGGGCGGAGACCCAGTCTGCTTCCAACGCCTTCCCGCTTCATGTTTCTCATGCTTCTGCTCACTTTTGCCGGCCGAGGCCGACGTCGTAGCCGCCCCCGTTTTCTTTTGTTGGGGGGGGGGGCGGGGGCGTTCTCTCAGGAGGGAAATAAACACACAGACACAAGTAATCGTCGATTCCCCAGAAAATGTGGGAAAATATAGGAAGTGGTGGGGAAGACAAACTCAGAGAACATATTGGAAAATATGGGGCATCGTATTATTTGTGAGTATTTATTTGTGTGTCCTGGGGCCCCTGCGTTCCCGTCGGTTTTGGGGTACCTCGCCTCGGGGTGCTCTCCGGCGTCTGCGCTTCCTCGCGGGCGGTCCAGGGCTGCCCGCAGCGAGGCCCGAGGCGTGGCCCGAGAGCCGGGTGCCCTCGCGGGCCCGCGAGTCACGCTGAGCAGGCCCACCGGCTGCTCGGCCCTATTGCGGGGCACGGGTGCGCAATCGTCGGGGGCGGAAAAGAGGGGGGTGATGACTAGAGGGGGGGTGGATATCATGGCTTGGGCCATGATGTTTCCCCAGAATTCATGGCGCCCCTTCTTGTTTCGTTACGTCCCTGGCCCCCCCGCTGGGCCGCGCACATGCCGCTGGTCATGATTTGCGCCCCGCCCTCTTGGACCCCCCTCTCGGCCGCTCCCGACCTATTGCGGGGCACGGGTGCGCAATCGGTTTACCAGCCAGACAGCGCGGAGTATCAACACACGAGGTGGCGATGCACCTCCGCGCTGCGCACGAGAGCACGACGGGCAGTGTCGGGACTGCGGAGAGGTGGCGATGTACCTCCGCGCTGCGCACGAAAGCACGACGGGAGGTGTTGGCAGTGCGCGGCCTCCGGGGGCCCTCGCCGGGCCCGGGGCCGGACGAACGCGGCGGCGACGGCGTCCAGGACGATGACCACGAGCATAACGGCGACGACCTCGGCGATGGCGACCACGGCGATGACCACGGCGGCCACGACGACCGCGACCACGACGACAGCCACGGCGACGACGATGGCGAGACTGGCGGCGGGCGCTCCACGGCGACGAACCCGCCCCGCCGAACAGGAAAAAACACATGTCACACAAAGGGTTTTATTGGTTTTACGCCGGAAGGGGGCGTCGTTGAGAGGGTGCCTGGCACGGATGCGGGGATCGGGGTGGCGTCGGTGTTTGGAGCTGGCGGTTTGCGTGGCAAGCGCGTTTAGCTGGTCGCATGTGTTCGGAACGCGTGACGGGTGGAAAGGCCGCCCACCAGCAACTGGCAGTCCTCTGCCCGCGGGCCAGAACAAATCGTCGCGGGCTCGCAACGGGGCGTTGGAAAGGGATTTGGGAGGAGAGCGCGAGTCCCATTCCCAAGAAGTCCTTTCGATATGCAGCAACCAATTCTTTTTCTATTCATCTGCCGCACGGCCAACCCTCGGCGCGCAGCATTAGCTTCGCTTGCGCGCATCATGGTTTCCTTCCGTTGCTTCCTTCCCTTTTTTTTCGCCCTCCTCATCCTGTTCCTCTTCCCCTGCTTTGCCTTGTCCCGCCCCCCGTCCTTTCCAGCTCGCAGCTGTCACCGCGCGCGAAGAGCGCAACCCAAATGGCGTTGCTGTAATTCTTTAGTGTGCCACGAAATCTCGCGTAATTCCTTTGTGTGCGGTCCGGTTACACTGCCAACGCGGGGGGGCATACACAGGAATTTCTTTTGTGTACGATCGTTTTCGCCGCCCCCACAAGAGAACGCGCGATTTCCGTGTGTAGAGCTTGCTTTCCCGCCTCGAGGAGCACACGGGGCCTGGCGCTACAATCGCAAGGCCGCAGCGCCCGGCAGTTCGATGCAGCTGCGGCGGATACCGCGCCCAAAACGATTCTACGTGGATTTCGGCTCTTCTGCCGAATTCGCGCTGGCAGCTGGCCAGCCACATCGCCGGCCCCGCATGCCCGCGCGCTACTGCGTTTTGCTAACGCGACGCGTGCTGCTGTCAACGGATGAACAAACTGACGTTTCACGGTGGTTTGGCTGTGCCGAACCACCATGGAATGTTTGTTGGTAGCAAATCTTAGGATTTTGTCGCCGCCGACAGCCTTGCCACGCCATACATGTCAATTGCATCCTAGAGCATGGCCGTGCATCAACCCTGGTTCGGATCGGTGGGGATCTATTGGCATGTGTGCACATGCGCTGCACCGTTAGTGGTGCCAAAACCCTTTGTGTGAAATTATTTTGTGTGTTTTTCCTGGCTCCCGGCCCCGCCCGCCGGCAGGCACCTGCCGCAGGCGTGGCGCATCGTGGAGGGCCTGGGCCTGGCGCTGCGCGTGGGCGCGCCCGCAGCCAGCCTCCCCGCTGCCGTCATCGTCGTCTCCCCGCTCGTCGCCGCCGCCGCCCTCCTCTCCGTCGTCGTCGTCGTTGTCGTCGTCGTCGTTGCCTTTTTCGTTTTCGTCGTCGTTGTTTTCGTCGTCGTCGCCACCGCGGTCGCCCTCGTCGCCGCCCTCTTCGTCGTCGCCGCCGCCGCCGCGGTCGTCGTCGCCCTCGGCGTCGCCGCCATCGCCATCGTCGTCGCCCTCGGCGTGGCCGCCGCCGCCCTCTCCGCCGTCGCCTTGGAATGGGATGTCGCCGCCGTCGCCGATTGGTCCTCTGTTATACGGTCTTGAAGCCTCTCGGGACAGCCTCGGCGTCCTTTGGCGTCTTCTCGGTGGGGGGGGGCTGAATGACTCGGGGGGCGGTGCTGCGCCATCTGGTGGGCCTTCTTGGTCCAAGTGGCCTTCCCAGGCCGTCTCGGCAGCGGTTCCTGGCGCTCGCGCCGCCCAGGGAGCCTGCGGAGGGCGGGGGGGGGGATGCGCGCAAGCTGGCTGCCCCGCAGCATGCCATGTGCAGACAGCTACTGGCCACAGAGACCGGGCACGGATGGCAACGCAACCGGCTTGGGATGCCCTGAAGGACGAGCAGCCGCGGACGATATGTATGCACCGTACCGCGCTGGTGTCTCCCGAGGCGTTGGCGATCTGCGACCCAGGAGTGGTACGGTGCATCGTTTATCGGCCCGCAGGAGCCCCCAAAAGAGTGGACCCTACCACGTTGGGGCGGGGCCTGGGCGGAGTCCAGGCATGGTGCGGTGCATGGGCGCCGTTCTCGTAGAGTACATCAGCAAGTGAGTGGGCTCAGGCCCCCCCCCTGGTAGTTCCCTCGCGGAGCCATGAGGCCAGCGTCCGACCGTCCGTCCGACCGTCCGTCCGTCCGTCCGTCCGCCGCCCGACGCCGTCAGCGCTGGCCCCGTCCGCGGAGGACACGGGCGAGGGCGGTCCTGCACCCTGCGGCAGAGCTGCCTGCCGACTGCCCGGCTCAGGCCGGACGGCCGTGGGTCGTTCGCAGACTGGCGGGTATAGCCAGGGCCCTGGTGAAGGGGAGCCGGTGAGTGATGGGGCCCCGAAGCCCAAAAGATGGACTGGAATCCCTGAAGCAGGTCTGCCGTAGCTGGTGTTTTTTTCGGGTGACGGCACTTCCGGTTAGTGGAATGGGACGGGGGGGCGTCCCCGGTGCAGATCACTCAACCAGGTCCCACTAAACCCAGTTCTTCCAACGCCCGAGACTGGGCGTCGCGTCAAGGGGAAGTGATCAGCTATGCCTCCTAGATGGGGTCCGAGCAGACGGGGTCGGAGGATCGCGCCGCATCGCCAATGCATCGGCGAGGCGGCTCGATGCGGACTGAGCCCGATTTTCGCCATGCCGACGGCGCCGATGCATCGCCGACGTCGCCGATGCATCGCCGATGCATCGCTGATGCACCTGCGGCGTATCGGCGATGCGGCGCGATCCTCCGTCCCCATCTACTTCGAGCCCATCTAGGATACCTTTCGAACAATCGGGTGGGCAGCGAGGGCTGCAGAAAAGGGAAGCCCTTCGGAGCCCCTCAAGGGGCCTCTGAGGGTCCAGATGGGGGCATGTACGGTCAGCGAAGTGCACCTGCCTTTTCCCCCCTCAATGTATCGCCCCCTCGATTAAGCGACGCCCAAGCGCATTCTTCCCTTTTCGCCTCCGCCTGCGCCTTCTCCAACAAAATGCAGTCGGACCGAGGTGTACAGTCGGGCCCTAGTGACCCTAGTGGTCTTCGTGTTTGCTGGATGTTATTGTGCATCCTGGGGGAGGGTATCCTCGAATGATCTTAGAGTTTGGGGTGCTTTGGCTGGCATGCTCTTGAAGGATGTTCTTCTGGCCTAGGTCCGACTGTACGAGAATGCCCCATCTTGGAGACCTCCAGAGGAGGTTCGGCTGGGCTCACGACGATGATAAATGCCTTCAGAGCGTTCCGGAACGCTCTCAGAGCGTTCCAGATCGCTGCGAGAAGGCCGCGGCGCCCGAGACATTCTTCAGAGCCGCTGTATCTCAGAGATTCTCAAGTTATCCGCACGCGATCTTATGTCAGTCCTGACTTCGTCTTGCCCTTCTCCAGCGTGCTCCTCGTCCTGCTGCGCATCGTCGTGCTCCTCCGCCGGACCTCAGAGATTCTCGAGTTGTCATCACCCGATGCTGTCCTCGTACTGGCTTCGTCTTGCGAGAGGGAGGGCCCCCCCCCACGCAGGCTGGAGCATCCACCACGGCGTGGCCAAGTTCTCCGCCAACGCGCGCCACCCGCCCCCGCGCGCGACATTCGGCGCCCTCGGCCGCCGCACTGCGCGCGCAGGGGCGGGCGCGCAGGGACACGTTCCTTTTTGCCATGCGAACAGGCGCCCCACGGCTGAGGGGCAGGAGGGGAAACCACAGACACAAGAGACATAATCTTCGATTCCCAGGAAAATGGTAGAACATATGGGAAGGGGGGGCAGATGAAGCTCCAGACAATATGGAAAATAACGGGGGATCCTTGGAATTGTGTATGTTTCTCTGTGTGTGTGTGTGTGTGCCCCTGGGCCCGTCTAGAGAGGAGGAGGAGGGAGGAGGAGGAGGAGGAGGGGGAGGAGGAAGAAGGAGGAAGGAAGAAACAGGAAGGAGGAGGGGGAGGAGGAGGAAGAGGAGGAGGAGGACGAGGAGGATGAGGAGGATGAGGAGGATCAGGAGGAGGAGGAGGAGGTGGAGGAGGAGGAGGAGGAGGAGGGAGGAGGAAGAGGAGGGGAGGAAGGAGATGGGGGAGGAGAATCCCCGCCCCCCTCCAGCTGATGGTGGTGGTGGTGGAGAACAGGCCCATCAGAGGGGGGGAAGTGAGAAGGGGAAGGCCTTCTCAGAAGGCTCGGCAGTCCCCCAGCCTTCCAAGAAGCTTTCTGAGCCTTCCCCGAAGACAGACAAAGAACAACTTCCCAGAGGGCGCGAGGACTCCTCAGAAGCCCCGCCGCCTGCTGAAAAGGCCCTCTCCTCCTCCCTCCCCCCCACCTTGCTCGCCGCTGTTGTGTCCTCGAGCTCACCCTCGTCCTGGCTTTAAGTCGGGCCTGTCCCTGCACCGGAGCAATATTTTCAACTAGTCAGAAAATTGTCTGGGGACGATGTTCCAACTATGTTTGACCATTTGGGAGTTTTGTTGTACTATTTCTCATTTTTCGTCCATCATCGGCCTGTAGGGGGACTGGCCCGACCTAGCCCTGGCTCCGTCTCGGCCTGCGGCCGGCGGCGGCGTCCGGAGTGCGGCGAGGCCCTGACCATCCTCGCCACCTCCGACGGCGCCCACGACGGGCTGCGGCGGGAGGCGCCGCCGTCGGCTCGGCGGCTCGGCGGCTTGTGGCCGCCGCCGCCGTCGGCTCCGCCCAGCACTTTCCATCGAAGGCGAGGGAACTCCACCACAAATCAGCACGAACGAAGTGGGTAAAGGAAAAATTTGGACTCGCTGCCCACGCCGCCGCAGCCTGTGTCCATTTGAGACAAACGGCCGCCTGCCCAACAGCGGCCGTTGTTGGTTTGGGACAACACTCGTTGTTGGGCATTACACCCATTTCTTCCGTACCAATTTCGGGCGCCCCCAAAAAAACATAACCTTTCGGCGCTCCGGGTGTCCTGGGGTCTCAGGGTTGGGGTTTCTTGTGGACGGCTTCTCGTGGTCGGGTCCCTCCTGTGTGGGTGAGGGGGAGGGCGTCGTAGAAGCAGCCCTGCTTCTCATAAACAAAAAGGCGCGGGCCTCGTCTTCGGAGGCAAGGCCGGCGCCTCCTGAGAGGCAGCCTCCTTACCTCGAAGCAGAAGGAGGAAGCACCGCATGAAGCATAAACGCCTGGCGCTCCGCGCGGGCTTCTGGGATCCGCGCTGGGCCCCGGGGGGCTTCTGCGAAGCCCTGCTCAGGAGAGGAAAAAAAACACAGACACAATTAATCATCGATTCCCCAGAAAACATAAGAACATATGGGAAGCGGGGGGGAAGACAGAAACCCAGAACATATGGGACAATATTGGGCATGTGTTTATTTGTGTGTATTTGTTTGTGTGTCCTGGGGCCCCTTCACCTGCCGCCTCCTGGGAGGGCCCTCCCCGGCTCCCTCCCCCCCCCGCCGCCCGCCGCCGGGCCAAGGGGCGCGGTCGGGGCCGCCGATGGGGCGCCACGGGGCCGAGGCGAGGCACGACGGGGGCGGCAGGGGAGGCGCGGCGAGGGGCGGCCGCGGGCGGCGGCGCCCGCGCAAGGGCGCGGCGAGGAGGAGGAGGAGGAGGAGGAGGAGGAGGAGGAGGAGGAGGAGGAGGAGGAGGAGGAGGAGGATGAGGAGGGGAGGAGGAGGAGGAGGAGGAGGAGGAGGAGGGAGGGATGAGGAGGAGGAGGATGGAGGAGGAGGAGGAGAGGAGGAGGAGGAGGAGGAGGAGGAGGAGAGAGGAGGAGGAGGAGGAGGAGGAGGAGGAGGAGGAGGCGGAGAGGCAGGAGGAGGAGGAGGAGGAGGGAGGAGGAGGAGGAGGAGGAGGAGGAGGAGGAGGAGGAGGAGGAGGCGAGGAGGAGGAGGAGGAGGAGAGGAGGAGGAGGAGGAGAGGAGGAGGAGGGAGGAGGAGGAGGATGGAGGAGGAGGAAGGAGGAGGAGGAGGAGGAGGAGGGGAGGAGGGAGGAGGCGGAGGAGGAAGGAGGAGGAGGAGGAGGAGGAGGCGGAGGAGGCGGAGGAGGCGGAGGAGGAGGAGGAGGAGGAGGAGGAGGAGGGAGGAGGAGGAGGGGGAGGGGGGAGGAGGAGGGCAGGAGCACGGGCTGGCACGGGGCAGGAGGCGGGAGTCGCGAGGCGGCTCCGCCTCGCACCCGCGGCAGGTGGGCCGCTGGGGGGGGGGGGGGCAGGCTCGGAGGGGGGGGTGGGCGCACGGGCTCCCCGTCGCGCATGGATCGCAGAGAGGGGCCCGGCAGCCCGCCCCCAAGGAGCGTGCCGTGTCGCGATCGGGGGCTCGGCGCCGAGCTCTCGGCGAGGCATCGCCGACTCCAGCTCGATGCTTTCCCCCCCTCCCCCCTGAGCTGGTCCCACCCCGACGCTAGCCCTCGCTTTTTCACATCCTCCCTCTTTCTCCTTCTCCTCCCGCATCCTCCTGCGATGCGCCAGGAGATGCGAGTTGCGAGCTATCCCACGTAGTGGTCGAAACGAGCTGACAGGGGTTCGCGGTCCCTGTCCACACGGTTTCGGCGTGGGGTGTGGTGGGTCGACGAGGTGGTGGAGGAGACGACGGCTGTGGAGGGAAGACGAGGTGGTGGAGGAAACCAAGGGAGGATTGTGAAAAGGGGGAGACGATGCGGTCAAACGTTGGCGTCATCGAGCATAACCCTTATCAGCTCCGCTTGAGATGTCTTCATTCGGCTTGATCCTGGGCATATCTGAGTCGGTCCGGCTGCATGGCCCCTTTTATCCAGCTTGTAACTCATGACCCCGACGTGTTCTGATGAGGAGTTCACGCAGTTGCCTCCCGCTCCCACCCCCCTTTCACCTCCCGCCCCATCTGCTCGGGCACTCCAGCCCTCGATCCATCTTCTCCGCCGGCAGAGCGGGGCGTGGTCGGGGGAGGCGGAGGATCACCATGAAGCAGACGGGTCCCGAGGGACACGGGTCCTGGGGCGCTCCCCCAGTTTCGAGCCCTTGGGGCCCTCCCGGGGCCTTCGTGCCGTCAGAAGACGATTCAGGATGAAGACCGAGCCCGGGAGGAAGTAGGGGAACAAAAAGTGGCATTAACATAAAAACTCAGAGGTCCGCGCGGATATCTCGGATCGGCGCTGGGGCTCCCCGGCAGCGCCTCCGGCGCCGCCCCTGGCGCGCTCCGCGCGCCAGGGAGGGGGTCCAGCGCCGATCCGAGAAATCCGCGCGGACCTCGGAGTTTTTTTGTTTATGTTACTTTTTGTTCCCCTAGGAAGGCCTCGTGGTCCGGAGCCCAGGGCCCGGTTCCCAGCCAGGCCGCAGCGGTGCGCGGGCGCGGCGTTTTCTAGAGTTCCAGCGCTGCCTGTCGGGCAGCTGACCTGCGGTCTCCCGAGGCTGGCCAGCTTTTGCCGAGGCCGCTTCGCAGGAGTCGCTTCGCCCCCCCCTTCGGGAAGCCATGGGGGGCCAGATGCGAGTCCTACCCCTACCCCCTACGATTTCTGAGGGGAAGTGTGGGGTTCACTCTGCCCCCTCCCCCTCAGAAATCGTGGGGGGTAGGGGTAGGGTTCGCATCTGGCCCCCTAAGCTAGCCCACAAATCCCGCGACCAGAGGTGGATGAGAGGGCAGACAAACATCACGCGTGTGTGTTGGGTTCTCGTACAGTTTTAGTTTCTGTCTGCCGTGAAGTCCGAGGTTGCGAAGACCTGTCATGCCTGATCGAAGGTGGGCAGGCATCATCATAAACGACTGCCCATGTCGACGTGGTGTGCTGAACGTGTTTGGGTGGCCTCTTTGGGACGCCTCTGGGACCTGCCCTTCGTTTTTTGGCCAAGGCTCCGTCGGGGGCCACGTCTGGCCGGGAGCCACACATGACTGCGCGCTGGATGGGATCTACGCCGAGGGCATTCCGCTTCTGCTCCGCCGGGAGCGACGGGAGCGAGACCGCGAGGGCCCGACCCACCCCGACCCGAAGACCGATCGGCCCTCGAGCCCTCGATCGCTCGGCAGACCCTCGAGGGCACGGCCCCGAGCCACCCTCGAGGATCATGCGGCGCCTCGACGGCGCCGCGGCGGCGGTGCCGCGCCTGCAGCGCCGCGGCGGCGCGCTGCCCCGCCTGCGGCCGGCGGCCGGCGGCCCGCGGGCAGGCCGTGAGGCAGCTGCTGGGCGGCATGCTCGTGCGCCGCCCCCCCCCCCCGCGCTTCTCTGGAGGGAGACACGCACACGCACACGCACACGCACACGCACACGCACACGCACACGCACACAGACACACACACACACAATCAATCGTCGATTCTCAGGAAAATGTGGTGTGAAAATATGAGAAGTCGGGGGGGGAAGGACAAACACCCAGAAAATATGGGAACCAATGGGGAATCATGTTGTTTGTGTCTATTTATTTGTGTGTCCCAGGGCCCCTTCAGCTTCGGAGGTCAGAGGAGTGATGGGCCTGTTCTCCACCACCACCACCATAAGTTGAAGGGGGGAGGGGGTCCTCCTCCCCCTCGTCTTCTTCCTCCTCATCGTCCACCTCCTTCCCCCCTCCAACTCATGGTGGTGGCGGTGGAAGCAGGCCCATCAGAGGAGGAAAAAGGTACCCATACCTCTACCCTTCGCCCGTTTTCCCTTTTTTGCGCCTCCCGGGCGGCCCTCGTCGCCACCGCTGGATTCGCCTCGCAATCCTGGTCAGGCTGCACCCCGGGGGAGGTCTGGGGAGCAGCGGTGTCGGGGGGAGAAGCGACATCAACACCACCAGGGGGCCAACCTCCAGCGAGGAGATCCACGATGCCTCCCCGAGCCCGAGGCTGGGGATGTCTCGAGCGAGGAGGGGATGGACCACACTGCCATGGAGACCCCCCTTGCCTCTTCGCATCTCCTCGCCCTGATGGTGTTGGTGTCGCCTTTCCTTGCTCCTACGCGCTGCGCCGTTGTCGGTCCCCGTCATCGTCATCGTCGACGTCGACGTCGTCGTCGTCGTCGCTGGCGGTCCCAAGCGGAGTGTCCTCGAGGCTGTTCGTTGTTCGACCTCTCCTGGAGGCTGCTTGGGTCCTTGGGTGTTTGGCATCGGCCGCGCCTCGTTCGCTTCGAGGCATTTCGACACGGTAATTGCTTCGCGTATCCCCATCAGCCCGTCCAGACACGACGATCGGCAGAGCTGTCCTGGACGGGGGAGCGTGTCTCAGTGTTTCCTGCAAGGTGCGGCTTTGGGATGTTGGCGATGCACTCCGGGGGGCAAGATGCCTGCCCCCGCCGCCGTCCCCGGCAAAAGCCAGTGCTCGGTGCTTTGCGGAGGGCCCGCGCGTGATCCAGATCTCGGTGCAACGCGCGCTTCGTACTGCCTTTTGGCAAGGTGTGGTTCGGAGGCGTTGGCGTTGCACAGCAGGCAGCGTGCCTTTCCCCCCCGCCGTCCCTGGCAACAGCCAATGCAGGGTGATTGTGGGACGTCCGCGCGTGATTCAGATGTTGGTGCAACATGCATGTAGTATTGCTCTGTACAAGCGATGCATCGGGAGGTCGCAGGCAATCTGCTGGCCCCATCTGCCCTATCAGTGGCCGCCTTGGGCCCACAGTTGGGGCCGACTCCAGCCCCTTGGGGGTCTCGTGGACCTCTTGGGCTGCCTTGGAGACTGAAAGCGCTAGTACTCGAGTACTTACACTCCCCCGAGCCAGGGGCTTCCAGCGGCAGGCGCCCCAGGGGGGGGGGCCCTCTGGTCGTGCGCCCCCCCCCCTCCCCTCTCGCTCGAAGCGCCCCCTGTCCCCCGCTCGGGGGCGGCGCCCCCCTGCCCCCAACTCCACGACGGCCCAGGAGGCGCTCCCCCCCCCCCGGCCCCCGCCTCTTGGAGCACGTTTTGGAGGCCCTCGGGCCCGGCCCCGGAAGCCGGCACAGCGGAAACGCCCGCGCCACGTGCGTGATCGTTTTCTGCTCCATCTCTTCGGGAGGAAAAGAGCACGCAGACACAATGGATCGTCGATTCCGGAGAAAAGATGGGAACATATGGGAAGTGGGGGGGAAGACGAAAACCCAGAAAATATGAAATATCTGGACTTCTGGGATCCAGGCGTATTTGTTTGTGTGGCCCTCGGCCCCTTCATGTGTTTTCGATCGGCGCGGGCCCTCGAGCCCCTCCCCCCTCCCCATGGAGTAGATCTTGGCTGTTGTTGGCGCCTGTCTCAAGAAGGTGGTGTCTGCCCCGTAGGGCGCGCTGTTGCAAGCGGTCGCGTTGTGCAGAGGTCGGGAGCCAGCCCCCCCTCACCCCGCCCCCTTCCGCCCAATGTCGAAACGCCGAATGAGAACACGGTCACTCTTCACTTGTTTCGCATACCCCCTATCCCGGTTTGCCGATGCTTTTTGACCAGCGCGTACTGCTATTCGTGGGATGTGCAGCGGGAGCTCGCGTCAGACTTTGAACGGGGTCTCGCCACTTCTATGATGGCCGCGGCAGGCCAATCCGAGTCCCCCGAACCCGAGTCTCACGTCTCCCCGACTCGGTACCGCTCAGCCGATCCCGTTGAAGCGTCGGTGACAGTACTTTGCGCCTCGCCGAGAGCCTTCCGGGGAGGCCAGGACCGTCCCGAAGGGCTACACCTCCCGACTCGTGGTGGTGCCGCGTCTCCCGGTCCCTCGCTCTAGCCCCGCAGGCGGCGCCGTTCTCTCTCCCCCGAGCGGACGCTGCGGGATCGCGGCAGTCGCCGCCCTCCGGCCTCCTGCTGCCCTCTGCTAGAGGGGCCGTGCCAGCGCGCCCACACTGCCGCCTCGCCCGGGCTGCCGGGACCATGTTGTTCAGGAGGGAAAAAAACACGCAGACGTGGGGGGGGAAAGGTGGGAACAGCTGGGGAATCCTGTTATTTGTGCCTAACTATGTACTTGGAATCGCTCGGACGTGTGCATGTTTCCTCCGGCGAGGACCTTCGAGGAGCATCCTCGACCATCTGGCGAAAAAAAACACGCACGAAACCGAACAAAAACACAGGAAATTGACGTCCGAGCGATGCCCAGTGTATTTGTGTGTCCCAGAGCCCCTTCAATGCTGGTTCCGCTGGCGGGGCGGGCGGCCGCCGCGAGGGGCGCGGCGGGGGCGACGGGGGCGCCCGCGGCCGTCTCCCCCGCGTCCGCCCCGCGGCCCGGGCCCCTTGGCACGGGCGTGCGGGGCCGAGGCCGGGGGCGGAGCCGGGGACGGAGCGGCGCGCGGGCGGGGAGGCAGTGGGAAAAAACACACACAGACACACATTCACACACACACACACACACACACACACACACGTGGGAAAAAAAAAACGCACAGTGGGAAAAACACACACACACACACAGTGGGAAGAAGCACACAGTGGGAAAAACACACACATACACAGTGGGACAAAAACACACGGGGGGAGCAAAAACACAGTGTGTTTTTTGTCCCACTATGTTTTTTTTCCCACTGACGTGTGTGTTTGTTCCCACTGTGTGTTTTTCCCGCAGAGCTGGGGACGGAGCGGCGCGGGCGGGGAGGCCGTGGCGGTCGCGATTGCGATGACGATGACGAGGCTTGCTGTACGTAGGGGCCGGGTCCCCCCACAGGAGGGCTGTTCCAAAGTGGTCAACAAAGAGTCTGGGGACGACGTTTGGATGGTGTTTGCCCACTCGGGGGCTGGTTATTGTTTGAGCATTTGTCACCCAAGACCCCCCTGTGGGGGGATAGACCCGACTCCATGCCTGGCGAATGTCAGCGCACTCTGCGCTCGTGACCCTTGTGCAGTCAACCCGCAGGGGCAGGAGGGGCAACCTTCCCGAGGGTACCCCTTGCATCCTCGCCTCCTCGAGCCAACCTCGTTCGAAAAACGTTAACATGGCCCTCCAAGGCCCTTGCATCCTTACCGCGCGTCCTTAGGATACGGGTCGACTGTATCGTCGGCGACACGGGCGAAGGGAACCCATGCAAAGCACGCGAACGACGCACAAAAGTGGGGTCGTCTTCGCCGACATTGGCGCGCAAGTTGCCCGCGCAAGGTCGCCTGTAAGCACCTTCTTCTCCGAGTTCTCCAGAGTCGTGAGCCGCGCTGGCGGCCCGCGTAAGCCACCGCGTAAGGTCGCTATGTCGTTTCGCGCAAATCCCGTTTCTGCTCGTCGCTCACGTGATGCTTCAGCTCACAGGCACAATTACCCCTCGTAGAAGTACATAGCTTCGGCTCCTACCCTATAGGCCTCCCGAACAGGGTCCGAGCAGATGGGGTCAGAGGATCGCGCCGCATCGCCGATGTATCGTCGATGCGGCTTGATGTGGAGCCCGAGTTTGTCCGCGCCGACAGCGCCGATGCATCGCTGTGGTCGCCGATGCATCGGTGATGCATCGCCGATGCGTCGGCGATGCTGCGGCGCGATCCCCCCCGATCTACCCAGACCCCATGTAGGAGGCCTCTATCTTCCTCCTCACAGACGAGCCCCTGGGTACCCCTTGTGTCGCCGAGGCGGTTTGATGATGGCCTCCACTTGGGTATGGGGAGGACAAGGGGGGACGAGAGAGGCTCTCCCCCTCCTCCATCCTCCTCCTCTTCCTCCCTCCTCCTCCCTACTCCCCCTACTCCCTCCTCCCTCCTCTCTCTCCTCCTCATCCTCCCCCTCCTCCTCCTCCCCGCGGACGCGCCCCCCCGCGCCCACCAGCGCTGGCTGCTGGACCCCTCGCCCGAGCCCGAGAACCCGCCGGAGGACCGCGACGTGTGCGGGGCCTCGGCGCGCGCAGCGCGTGCGCTCTGGAGGGCCCCGGCGGGAGGGCGGCGCGGCCACGCGCGGAGGCTTCGCGCCGCGCCGCGCCTCGCTGGTGGAACCTGACGCCGACGACGACGCTGACGACGCCGACGACGCCGACGACGACGACGACGACGACGACGACGACGACGACGACGCCGGCGGCGGCGACGGCGGCGGCGACGACGGCGACGACGGCGTCGACGACGACGACGACGACGACGACGACGATGACGCCGACGACGACGACGACGACGACGACGACGACGACGACGACGACGACGACGACGACGACGACGACGGCGACGCAGCCGCCGCCGCCGCGGCCGACGACGATGATGGCGGCGGCGGCGCCGCCGCCTTCGACGACGACGACGGCGACGACGACGACGGGGTCCCCGTAGACCCCCCGCCATTGTCTTCCGAGGGTCCAAGTTAATGTTTGTGGTTGGGTGTCCGAGTACCGTTGTCTGCGCCTCCCTGGAGATTGTGTTTTGTATCCGCTGGCGCGTAACCATCGTTACCAAGGCCTCCCCGGGTACTTGTAACGATCGTACGTAATAGAGGGGGCGTCCTGACCCCCCGCAAACTGGTCCTCGCGCGTATAGTGTGGCGATCGCGACGCACCCCCACCTCGACGCGCCCCACCCCGCCCAAGCGTTGTTGTCACCCGGGGCCCAATCACCCCTCCCTCGGACAGAGACCGTCACAGGAAGTGGCGTTGTAGACGGCATCGGGGGCGGCCACAAGACCAGGGGCGCGCGGATATCATGGCCAGGGCCATGGCTCCATCTCCTCTCGTTTCTACCGTCCCCTGGTACCCCCCCCCTGGTCCGCGCACGTGCCTCGGGCCACGACTTGCGAAGCCCTCCTCTTGGAGGCCCCCCTCCTCAAGACTCGGGCCGGACGAAAGGGGGGGATAGGGAAAGGGGGGGCTACGAGATCTGCTGCGTGCAGCTTGTCCCGGCCTCACCGAGGAGCCCATTCCTCAATGCACTGCCGCCTCCAGCGCCGGGAGGCGCTGGGAAAATCAGCTGCGTGAGCTGGTTCTCACCCCCCCCTTTGCTATTCCCCCCTTTCGCCCGCCTCTCCTCTTCCTCCTCTTCCTCCTCCCTCTCCTCCTCCTCCTCCTCCTCCTCATCCTCCTCCTCCTCGCCCGCTCCCCTCTCCACGCCTGCTCGCCTCCCCTCTGCCCCCTGGGAGGGCCCCATCCCTCCCCTCCGCCGCCCCTCGCTGTGCTCCCCATCCCCATCCCACATCCGCGTCCTCCTGCGGCCTATCCTTGCCTACTCCTTCCTCCTCGAGCTCCATCCGCCCTCCTCGCCGGTATTCGTCTCCGTGTCGACGCGTTGGTTGTTCGATTTGCGCCATCCCCGCATCTTCAAAACACATCATTCGGGTGCTGATGGAGGTGCCCCTGGCCCAAGGCGCCCCTAGCTTCCCGCTCCACCTTGGAGCCCCTGGGGCCCTCTGGGCATCGTGAGGGGTCCCCTGGAGGCCGTCTGGGCCACCCCGAGAATCCTGGGGAGTACCTTGGGCCAGGGGTTACTCCTAGCAACACCCGAATCATCAGATGTACGTTCTCTCCCCGTCGTCGGTGCGAGCCTGCCCCTCCTCGGCACCACCAGGGCCCAGGGCGTGGCCTGGGCCCGCCCGCGGCCAGACCGAGCACGTCTCTCGAGCGAGGCGCTTGCTCGGTGGCCTGGACCTCCTCTCTGCCTTCGGCGCAGAGAGGGCGTCTCGGGCAACAGCGCTGGTCCAGGTACCCCCCCTCCTCCTCCTCCCCCTCTTCCTCCTGCTCCTCCTCCTCCTCCTCCTCACCTTCCTCCGCCTCCCCGCCTCCGCCCCTCCTCCTTCTCCTCCCTCTCCTCCTCCTCCTCCGCCTCTTCTCCCCTCTCCGCTCCTCCGCCTCCCCCTCTCCTCCTCCTCCTCCTCCGCCTCCTCCTCTCCTCCTCCTCCTCCTTCTCCTCCTCCTCCTCCTGCTCCTCCGCCTCCTCCCCCTCCTGCTCCCCCTCCTCCTCCGCCTCCGCCTCCTCCCCCTCCTGCTCCCCCTCCTCCTTCAGAGCTCCCAGGCGCTTCCCGCTGCAGCAGGCGCCGCGCCTGGGCACTCCCAGGGGGGGGGGCTGCCAGGCATCGCCCAGTCGCCAGAGGCGAAGGTCCCCCTCCTCCCTCTTTCTCCTCCTCCCTCCCTCTCTTCTTCCTTCTTCTTTCTCTTCTCCTCCTTCCGCCTCCTCCTCCTCCTCCTTCCGCCTCCTCCTCCTCCTTCTCCTCTTCCCCCCAAAGTTGTTTTACCCCCCTCGAGGCCATAGCGCGCGGTATGTCCCCCTCCTTCCCCCACTGGCGCCCCGGACGCTCGCGGGCGGACTTTCGGGGGGAACTGCGATACCCATGTGGGGATTTTTGCGCCGAGTAAGTGTTGAGTTGATTCAGCAACGGGTTCTTTATACATATACGTATATACACGTATTATGCACATGCACTTGCACATCTCATGCATATCTCTCTTGCTCTCATCCCTTCCCTTCGCTCCCTGGACACTGTCTGGTCGGCGGCGAGAATCGTCCCCCGTCTCACTCTCCCTCCGTCGTTTCGCATCCTGTGCCCTCCCAGTTCCCTTCCGTGTCCTCCTCCACCTCAGCTTTGGATCAGGCGAATTGAGCCCGGGTCCGCTAGATCTCCAGTTGTTTGCCAACACCCAGCTTCCACCCCGTCACTGGGGAAACCAAACGGTACCGATACCGCCACTCCCCGGACCTCTCCCGGGGTGCGTTCTGACCACGATTTCGAGGCGAATCCAGCGGTGGCGACGACAGAGGCCCAGGAGGTCCAAGCAGGGGAAAAAACGGGGGAAGGGTAGAGGTATGGGTACCTTTTGCTCCTCCGAGTCATGCCCTCGCACGCCTTCTGCTGGCACGCGGTGGCACTGGCGCTCTCCCCCGGAGGGGCGTCGGCCTTTCGAGCCAGCGCTGATGCGGGTGGGACCCGCTGGTGGGGAGATGCCAAGAACGCCTCCTGCGAGGAGCAGGGGGTCTGCCTGGTGAGCGCCAACGCCATCACCGCCCACAAGGAGCTACCAGCCTGAGCATTTCCCTATCCCTATGGCTGGCATCGCCTCATCTCGATGCTGATCGGAAGCATGTCCTCAGTTTCTGAGGGCACGTCCCTGAGATGCCCATTGCATTGGAGCTTGTGAATCTTAAGGGAGAGGGATCAGCTCGAGGTTGGTTAAGGAGGGTCTGCCAGGCCTCATGCAGGCCTGCCTCCGAGCCAACAGCAAGACGCAGGTCGTGGCGCTGGCGCTTCAAGATTATCCTGTTGTGCTGCCGCGTCCATCCGCAGCCGCGATGGGGAGGTCATAGGAGGAAGAGGTACCGAACCCCCTACCTTCTCGCCTTTTCGAGCCTCCTGGGAGGCCCTCGTCGCCACGGCTGGATTCCCTTCGAAATGATGGTTGAAACGCACCCTGAGAGAGTTTCGGAGGGTATCGGCATCGGTGTAGCATCTCTAGCATTCCCAGCTGGGTGACACTCATGGACGTTGATGTGGCTGGGGGGGGTTCGGCTCGTTGAAGCACTGGCAGCCCCTTCCGCACACGCACAGCGCGCCGCAGTCGTGGCGGCGGATCCCGGCGGAGACTTTCCGCACTACGTCCGGCAGCTGGAGGGCATGGAAAAGGGCCAGCGCTTCAAGTTGCGGCACCAGGTGAGTGGCTGGTTGAATTGGGGTTGGCTGTGTGGACATTCGCGCACGCGGTAAGTTGCCATAGGAGAGTCGCGCGTAACAAATCTCAGCGAGCGAAGAACGGTATACAATAAACTTTTTCGCCGTCGGGAACACCTGCTCCTGGGCGGCTGGAAAGTTTATACCCCTACGGTGCCACCGTAGGGGTATAAACTTTCCAGCCGCCCAGGAGCAGGTGTCCCCGACGGCGAACAAGTTTATTTCATACCGTTCTTCGCCCGTTAAAAATCATCTTCTCCACGCGGTTCGCCCGCCGCGCTTGTGGCTTCCGTAAGCCGGGCGCGCCAGATCACTATGTCCTCTCGCATGGGTCCCAATCGGCGGCGCAAGGTGGGGGGGGGGCTTGAGGGCCAGAGGCAAGTCGCTATTAACAGAAGCTTGGGGGCGCAGGAGGGCATTTGGTTTTCGTGCCGTTCCTCAGGTCTAGGTCGGGGGACCTGCTCGTGGCCGTGGCGAGAAAAGCCCCCTCGGTCCTTCCCCAGCTCTGCTTCTTGGCAGCACGATGGCTCTACGGCCAGGTCGCTGCAGCGAGACACGGTTCGGCATGGGCATGGGCCTCCCATGCTTCTTCTGGTGGCGCTCCTTGGGCACCCAGGCATTTCTGGGGGCAAATTGGGGTTCGTTCAAGAGCCAACGCCCTCAAGTGCAGCAGCTTGATTGCCTCGTTTTTGGAAGGCTGGTCTCCCTCGCCCACCCCCCCTTCTGGTTGCGCGCCGTGACGGGCGGTCTGCACCTGGCGCGCGCCGCGCGCGCGCGCGCCAGCCACCGTGGAGTTGTCGTCCTGCCCCGTCGGCGCTGGTGCGAAGACGCGAGGCGTCGGACGGCAGCAGCTGGGACGTGGCAGAGCTGATGGCGCACGAGGGGGGGCCAGCCACAACTGGGGGAGCTGTGGTCCTCACCCCCTTGGGGGACCCATGGATTTCGACACCCCGCTCGAGCGACCGTCGATGCGATGGGTTCCCCCGGGGGGGTGAGGACCACAGCTCCACTTATGACTTGTCGGGAGGGGGATGGAGTCTCCCGGGCGTGCTCGCCGTCTCCGGCCCCGCCGGGGACCGGAGACCGAAGAGTGCCTCGGGATGGCGGAGCGGTTCCCGCGGGCCGCCCCGGCCGTTCTTGTTCCCCCGTGGGGGCCCTGCGCCCTCGTGTCGGATGAGGCTGCCATGCCCTCTCGCGCGGGGCCCTTCCTTCGGGCCGGGCGAAAGGGGGGGATTGGGAAAGGGGGGGTTACGAAATCTGCTGCATGCAGCTGGTTTCGGCCCCACCGAGGGGCCCATTCCTCGATACATGGCCGCCTCCAGGCGCCGGGAGGCGCCGGGAAAATCAGCTACGTGAGCTGATTCTCAAACCCCCCCTTTGCTATCCCCCCCTTTCGCCCGACCCGATTCCTGTGTCCGCCGCCGAGGTGATGCTGACGGACGTGGCGGGCAAGGGCCACTTCTGCCACAGCCACTTTGCTGGCGGCGCCCTCGCGGGCGCCGCCGCGGGCGGCCTCTTGGGCTTCAAGATATCGGGGAGCGAGAGCAACGACGCAGGCATAGCTGGTTCGGCTTGCTCGGAGAGTTGCCAGCGTGCGCCTCTTCTCTGCCTACGCGTCCGCCTGGACGTGTGGCTTCGTGCGTGCTTGGGTGAGGTCCGCGCTGGTTTCCTGGATTGGCGCCCCCCCTCCCTGGCGCGCGGGGCGCGCCAGCGGCGGCGCCGGAGGCGCCGCCAGGGGGGGCCCAGCGCCGATGCAAGAGGGCCGCGCGGACATGCGACATTCAGGAGGGAAGAAAACACACAGACACAATTAATCGTCGACTCCCAGGAAAATATGCAAAAATATGGGAATTGGGCGGGAAGACAAAAACCCAGAAAATATGGGAAAATATGGGGAATCTTTTTATTTGTGTGTATTTATTTGTGTGTCCTGGGGCCCCTTCAGACATGTTATGTTTGTGTCGCTGTTTGTTCCCCGAATGATCGGGCTGCTCGCCCACCTCGGGGGGCCCGTGGTGGGCTTCACGGTGAAGGCCCTCACGACGGTGGTGGGCGCCGTCGGGGGCGCCGTGGCCGCCCACGCGGCCAGCGGCGCCCTCGGCGCGAGCTGCGGAGGGGTCGCCGTCGTGATCTATTCCCTGAGGAAGGTCGAGGCGGCGCCGTGGGTCACCACTTGGCGGCAAGCCCAGTGGGGAAGTGAGAAGGGGCGGGCCCTTTGTGGGCCCTGGAAACGGCAGGGCCGCTTCTTCACCGATTCCAGGCAAATGTTCCTTGAAAAATTGGAAACGGCCCAAAAAAAAAACGGCGACCGGGAACGGCACAAAAAATGCTCCAGGATTGGAATTGGAGCCGGAACCGGTCCAACAACGGCGGCGGAACTGGTAAAAAAACGGCGTCGGAACCGGCAAAAAACGGCAAAACGGAACCGGTAAAACATTGGCCCTGTCGTTTCCAGGGCCCACTAGGGGCGGGCCTGCTCCGAAGGCTCGGAGGTCCCCCGGCCTACTGGGAAGTTGTCGAAGCGTTCCCCGAAGGCAGACATGTTTCGGGAGGCGCCAGAGCTTCCGAGGAGTCCAGCCGCCTTCTGAGAAGGGCTTACCCTTCGCACTTCTCTCTCCCCGCCCGCCGTGCCATCGAGAAGAAACGAGCCCCTCACCCTGCAGTCAACTCGCATAGTAGGAATGGGCAGCCTTCCCACGGGCACCCCGGCATCCCTGCCTCCTCGGTCCCTCCTTGGCCGCTTTCGTTGGGCGCGCCCCGCTCGAAGGGCTTCGAAGTGGGCGTCCGAGGCGGCCCGTGCATCCCTGTCGCACATCCTTGTGGTGCGGGCCGACTGGATTGGCACAGTGGAGGCGTCACTTGACTTTGGTTTTTGTTCTCAGCATTCGGAGTAATGTGCCTGGGTGGTTTGGTTTGAGACGTCTGCTGAGAACCGCTCCGAGAGGGTCATGAGTACTGTTGTTGATCCGTGGGTCGCCACCTACAAAAACAACCCCGACCCAGCCCCCAGGCGTCGGGGAGCACTGAAAACCACATGTGGAACCCGTCCCCCCCCAACAAAAACACGACATTGGGGTCTTCGGCTGTAGAGTGGGTGGTCTCGTGGGTAGTCCGCGGGGCCCTTTGAGGGCCAGTCGAGACAACGGCGGCTCTCAATGGCGCTTGTCCTTCGTTCTGGGCCTCCCGGACGGGGTCCGAGGGGATGGGGTCAGAGGATCGCGCCGCATCGCCGACGCATCGACGATGCGGCCGACTGCGGAGCCCGACGTTCTCCACGCCCACGTCGCCGGTGCATCGCCGAGGCATCGGCGATGCAGCGGTGGTGCGGCGCCGATGCAGCGGTGATGCGGCGCCGACGGCGGAGGAGGGCCAGGGGAGGCGGCGGCGGCCCTCCGTGGAGCTCGTGCTCGAGGGGCCCCCCCGCTGACTTCTCGTCTCCACGGCTGGCTCCGCCTCGAAAAATTCTAGACGCTTCGCGTATCCCCACCAGCCCGTCCAGAAACGACGCCCAGGCGAGTAGAGGGTCGTCCTGAGGGGCTTTTCGGCGTCTTGGGTGCCTCGGGGGGGCCTCTTTGGGCCGTTTGGGATCCTCTTGGGGGCCTCCTGGGGGCCTCTTGGGGCTATCTTGGGGCCATCTTGGGGCCTCTTGGTGCCTCTGGCTCCGCCTCGAAACGTTGGGTCACATGAGAAAGCGGGGTCGTCTTGGCCGACGTTGGCGCGTAAGCTGCCCGCGTAAGCTCGCGCGTGGGCGCCCTTTTCTTCCAAAGCAGCGTTCCGCGCTGGCGGCCCGCGTAAGCCAGCGCGTAAGGTCGCTACGTCGCGTTGGACCCGTCTTGGGTCGTCGCCCGAATGGGGCGCATGTCGTCAAGCACAAAAGAAAAGGCCTAACTGAGTTCCCCGTCTTCGCATGAGGGATAATACTTCTGGGCGGTTTGGTCTGAGACATCTGCAACAAAAAACCCGGGTGTGTGTTGGCCCTCCTGACTTAGGTCGCCTCCCAAAGGGTTGGGAGTTCTTGTTCGGTTACTCAACATGGACTCCTGGACTTTGTGGGCCCTGGAAGAGGAAGGGCCGTTTTTTTCACCGTTCCCGAAAGAGTGTCTCCTGAAGATGGAAGCGGCAACAAACAGGTGTCCAGAAGCGACAAAAGACGGCTGTGGGATTGGAGTCGGGGCGTGAGCTGGAGAGGAAACGGCGACGGGAGCGGCAAACAAACGGTGCCGGAACCGGCAACAGAAAACGGCAAGACGGAACCGGTAAAGAAATGACGTGTCGTTTTCAGGGCCCGCCAAGATCCGGGACTGGTCCTGGACTGGTTTTCATTAGGGGGGGGTGGATATCATGGTGGGGGCCATGATATTTCCCCAGATTTTATGGCGCCTCTTCTTCTTTCATTGCGTCCCTGGCCCCCCCGCTGGGCCGCGCCCATGCCGCCGGTCATGATTTCCACCCCCCCCTCTTGGACACCCCCCTCCTTGGCCGCTCCCGAGTTCTGGTCTTGGCCTAGTCAGTCCTGGCCTAGTCAGTCCTAGTCAGGCCCTCCAGGTCTTGGCCGAGTCGTTTTCTACGCCTCCCTGGCCAGGCCAGGAGGGCGTGTGCACCAATCTTGGGCCCGGGATCAGCCTTGCCACGATACTGAGCCCAGGCTGACATACAGTCGGGGCGCTGAAGAAGGAACCCTTTTCGCTGGGGAGGGGCTCGGTGTTCTTTGATTGTTTCAAAGTTTGCCTCGGGTTTTCCTTAGGTTTTCCATAGGAAGTCGAGGTTGAACTTATGGGAAAAAGGGGCCTCGTTCCTTATTTAGGGTTCCTTAGGTCAACGCCTCGACTGTAATGAGGTCGGAGTATACGTGGTCAGATGATCGCGCCGCATCGCCGACGCATCGGGGATGCTGTGCGATGCAGAGCCCGACGTGGCCGATGCATCGGCGATGCGACCCACCGACCCCATTTAATATCTGGACCCAATTCGAAAGTCGAAGCTCCTGGCTCGTTCTGAGCTTCAGGGGCCTACAGATCTGGAGACATGCGGAGGGCCCCATCGAGGGTTCGCAGTGACCCAGGGCGTCAGCATGTTTTCCTTCCTTTGGGGAAACTCAGACATGGACCAACACGCGTGGATTGGCGACGGGTCTAGTTTCCAAAAGCATCCACACGCACCGACGCCTAACCAGGCGGTATTGGTTTCATGCTTTGGAGGATTATTCTTTCCCCCCGCGCTCGCGTGCCATATCTACGGATATGGAATCCAGGCTAGCCTATCAGCTTGTACCCGCCTGTCTCTCATCTCCACCCTGCTTGTCCATTGCTCTCTTTGGGACCACCCCTTCGCTCGGTGACACCGCCTGAGCCTGCCTAAGACGTGGTACGCCTGTGGGCCCCCTTCTGGTGCCAGAATTGTTCCATTAGTCAATCGGGTTAAGTCGGACACGCTCCTCTACAGGAGGGATATTCAAACACAGACAAACAATAGAAGGTGGACAACTCTTCTAATAATTCTGAATCTTTCTGTATATTTTTGGAACCAGCCAACCAGCCTGGAACCCGTCCTGAAACCGCGCCGCCGTGTCGGGAACCACGGCCGACGCCGCTTTTCCCGACCGGCACTGCACGTCGCTGTTTTGCCAGGGGTGTCCCACAGGCTTGCCAGGAGACCGTTGTTGTCTCTCCCCATGAAGCACCAAAGAAAAACCCCAAACAGTGGATGGCTTGAACACTACTGATATGGATATTCAGATCGATGGGCAGACCGATAGTGAGATCGATCATGGGATCGATCGTGGAGTCGATTCAATGAGATCGATGCTGACATCGATCGTGAGATCGCTCGTGCCATATATAGTGAGATCGATCGACAGATCGATAGTGATATCGATCGTAAGATCGATAGACACTTATCAATTCGATCATTTGATCTCGTGTCTTCTCCTCTCGGGACGACCGACGCGGGTACGGGAAGAGTGGGTACGATGCCCAACAGCAGCGTCTGTTCATTTTGAACGGGACTCGCTGTCCGCGCCGCCCAGGACGCTGTTCATTGCAGGCAAAAGGCCGCCTGCCCAACAGCTGCCCGCTGTCGGTTTTGGACAACATTTGTTGTTGGGCATTGTACCCATTCTTACGTTGATTGGGTGTGGTTTTCAGCCATTGCGGACGCGCAGACGTAGTAAAGAAAGTTTGGCGTTCTTGCGTCGTCGCACAGAGCAGCTGATACGGAAAGCGCGCCAGCGGATGACCCTGTAATTGAAAAGGGGCGCTGTGCTCGCAGAACCCCCCCACCCTTTCCCCTTCCCCCCCTTGAAAGGGGGGGGGGTGAGATATTCGACCCCCCCCCCCTCCCACCCTTAAAGGGGGGGGGGTCCCGACCATTACTCGCTACTTAGATAGTAGCGAGTAATGAGCGAGTAATGAGGAGTGAGTAGTGGGTAGTGAGTAGGGAGTTGTGCGCAGTGAGTAGCGAGTTGTGGGTAGCGAGTAGTGAGTAGTTGGTAACGGGTAGTGGGTAGTGCGTAGAGAGTAGCGAGTAGGGAGTAGCGAGTAGTGAGTAGGGAGTAGAGAGTACGGAGTAGGGAGTAGTGCGTAGTGAGTAGTTAGTGAGTAGTGAGCAGCGAGTAGTGAGTAGTTGGTAGTGGGCAGTGGGTAGTGGGTAGTGAGCAGCGAGTAAGGAGTAGCGACTAGTGAATAGTGAGTAGCGAGTAGGGCATTGTGAGTGGTAAGTAACGAGGAGGGAGTAGTCAGTAGTGCGTAGTGACCAGGGAGTAGTGTCTAGCGACTAGGGAGTAGCGAGTAGCGAGCAATGAGCAGGGAGTAGCGAGTAGTGAGTACTTGGTACTGGGTGGTGGGTACTGAGTAGTGACTAGCGAGTATGCGGTAGCGAGTAGTGAATAGTGAGTAGCGACCAAGGCACTGTGAGCGGTGAGTTGTGAGAAGGGAGTAGTCCGCAGTGAGTAGGGAGTAGTGAGGAGCGAGTAGGGGGTAGCGAGTAATGAGTAGTGAGTAGCGAGTAGGGAGTAGGGAGTAGTGATTAGTGAGTAGTTGGAAGTGAGAAGTGGGTCGTGAGTAGTGGGCAGTGCGCAGGGAGTAGCGAGTAGAGAGTAGTGAGTCGTGAGTCGTGCGTAGTGAGTATTGAGTAGTGAGTAGTTCGTAGTGACGTGTGGCTAGTGCGTAGGGAGTAGGGAGTAGTGGGTCGTGAATATTGCGTATCGGGTAGCAAGCAGCGAGTAGGGAGTAGCGAGTAGTGAGTAGTGAGTAGTGAACAGTGAGTACTGTGTAAGGAGTAGGGAATAGCTAGTAGCGAGCAGCGGATAGTGAGTAGTGAGTTGTGGGCAGTGCGTAGTGAGCAGGGAACTGTGAGTACTCAGTAGTGAGTAGTGGATGGTGGCTGGTGGGTAGTAGTGATTAGTGAGTAGTGAGTAGTGGGTAGTTCGCAGTGTTTAGTGAGTAGTGAGTATTGAGTGGTGGGTAGTGACTAGTGAGTACTGTGTAGTGAGTAGTGAGTAGTGGGTAGTGAATAGTGGGTATTGGGTGGTGAATAGTGGGTAGTGAGTAGTGAATCGTGAGCCGTGAACAGTGTGTAGTGAGAAGTGAGTAGTGGGTAGCGAGTAGTGGGTAGTGAGTAGTGAATAGTGGGTATTGAGAACTGTTTGGGGCTAGGGTTGGGGTTTGGGGTTCGAGTTACGGGTGGTCAGGGTGGTAGCGTTAGGAGTGGTAGGGGTCGGGTTCCGGAGCCAGCGGGCGCCGTGGCGAAAGGGGAGGAAGGGGGGGTCGAATTTGGCGGCCAAAGGGGAGGAGGGGGGGGGGGTCGGACCCCCCCCCTCTTTTGAAAGGAGGGGGAGGGGGGTTCCCGACGACGGACAAAGAAAGCGGGGAGGGGGGGGGGGGGGCCGACGACGGATTGGAAAAGGGGAGGAGGGGGGGGGTCCCCGACGACGGATCGGGGAAAGGAGGGGGGGCCATCCAGCGGCGCGCCCTCGCTAATATGCCTCTTTATACACTGAGGTTGCCCATCGCTGTCTTGGAGCCTCTGGCGCCTGATGTCAGCCCAGTTTGTTGGGCGTGCCGCTGTTATCACACAGTCTACACCGCTGTCCTCCTCTCATCAGAGGAGAAGATTACAATGCGACGAAGCGATTAAAACGTGTCCGGTGGGCTGCAGCGTCCCATTGGGAAGTGGATGATTGAAAACGCATTCCCAGTTCATCGTCATCCTCGCCAGAGAGGCCACAAGGCCGCAGCTAGCGACCCAGACGAGAAATTGCATTTGTTTCATCATCCCTGCCCAATGTTTTGTGTACGCTATCGCTTGGTCTGTCGCATCACCGCTGCCGCTGCCCGTCCTGGATGGCCCTCGTCGCCACGGCTGGGATTTCTTTATTCGACGTTGTGGTCCGAACTCGCCCAGGGGCAGGTCTGGGGAAGGCAGGCATCGGTACCTGTCTGCTCCACCGGCGTCGACCCTCCGATGCCCCGAGGTGGAGTTTGACTCGAAGGACCCCCAGGCGCTGCGCACCATGGGCACCGGTCTGACGGCGACGACCCGGAAGGGGACCGTGGCCGTCAGGATCGGATGTTCGGTGATGGGGGGGCGATGGTTTTGCGGGGGGATGGGAGCATCCATTTGGACGCCTGACATGGGTACGGAAAGAATGGGTACAATGCCCAACAGTAGTTCCTGTTCATCTTGAACAGGACTCGCTGTCAACACCGCCGCGGCCTGTGTCCATTCGGGACAGGAGGCCGCCCGCCCAACAGCGGCCGCTGTTGGCTTGGGACAGCATTTGTTGTTGGGCATCGTACCCATAGTTTCCTTACCCATTTCGGGCGTCCAAATTTGGGGGGATGGGGGCATCCAGGGTTCCAGCCGAAGGTTCACGAGAGGTGCCCCTCCTGTTCATTGCCCCCCTTCTCGGAGGAAGGAGACGACACCACCACCACAACCACCACCACCACCACCACCAGAGGGTTCACCTCCAGCGAGTAAGTCTACGGTTCACGATGCTCCCCCGAGCTGGGGATAGGCGATGTCTCGAGCGAAGCGGGGACCGCAACATCAGGAGGGCCCTGCCTGGGGCCTAGCGCTGGTGGAGGTGGTGTCGCATCTCCTTGCTCCTGCGTTAATCTAAGTCTTCCAGGTGGGATCCCAGCAGATGGTGTCGGTGGATCACGCCGCATCGCCGATGCATCGGAGATGCAGCTCGACGTAGAACAGGATTTTCTCCACGCCAACGTCGCTGAGGCATCGTCGACGTCGCTAGCGAGTCATCGGCAATGCGGCGCGGTCAGTCGACCCCATCTGTTCCGAGCCCATCTGGGAGGCATCTACTTGAGCCTCGAAGGCCGGCTCGTGGGTTGCGTTGTTTGCTTGGCGACTTCTTTGTATCACATGGCAGCTGATATTGTGCATCGTGGAGTTGGAGTTCATAAATTTGTGTGTGTGTGTGTGGGGGAAACGCTAGAGGGGGATGGGCATGGGGGGGACGCATCGATTCCCAATCGCCCATTGATCGCCGATCGGGGCCCGATAGCCCCAACCTGCCCAGGAACGTGCGGAATCACTATCGGGGGCCTGTCGCCGATCTATTGGCGATGCATCGCCGATTCCAGGTCGATGTTTTCCCCGCTATCCCTATCACCCCATCAATCGTTGCCCCTCAGTGTGGGGGGGAATCTGGACGCCCGAAACGGATACGGAAAGAGTGGGTACAATGCCCAACAGCAGTTCCTGTTCATTTTGAACAGGAATCGCTGTCTGCGCCGCCACGACCTGTGTCCATTCGGGACAGGAGGCCGCCTGCCCAACAGCGGCCGCTGGTGATTTGGGACAACAGTTGTTGTTGGGCATTGTATCCATTCTTTCCGTACCCATTTCGGGCGTCCAAAGGGAAATTGAGGCCATCGCCCCCACCAGGATCGGGATGAACGGCCACAGCCTCGTCCTCGCGTCCACCCACGGCACCGAGGGCGTGCGCGCCAAGGAGCGGTCCGCGCAGTGCCCGGCCGGCAGCGACGAGGCAGAGGGCGGCCTGGCGGAGGAGCGATTGGGGCAGCGCCGGGGGGGGGGGACGGGGGCGAGGCTCGGGCCGGACGAAAGGGTGGGATTGGGAAAGGGGGGGTTACGAAATTTGCTGCATGCAGCTGGTTTCGGCCCCACGGAGGGACCCATTCTTCGATACATGGCCGCCTCCCGGCGCCGGGAGGCGCCGGGAAAATGAGCGGTGTGAGCTGATTATCAAACCCCCCTTTTGCTATCCCCACCTTTCGCCTGGCCCGAGTTTGGGGCAGCGCCGGGGGGGGGGACGGGGGCGAGGCTCAGGTCGGCACGAACGGAATGGGTACGGAAAGAGTGGGTACAATGACCAACAGCAGTTCCTGTTCATTTTGAACAGGACTCGCTGTCCGCGCCGCCGCGGCGTGTGCCCATTCGAGACAGAAGGAAGCCTGCCCAACGGCGGCCGCTGATGGTTTGGGGCAACATGTGTTGTTGGGCATTGTTCCCCTTTTCTTCCGTACCCACTTCGAGCGTCCAAATCAGGGGGGAGAATTCGAACAAGAGAAAACCTTATAAACATCATAAACTGTTGGCGCTCCCCGCGGATTTCTTGGATCCGCGCTGGATCCCCCTCCCCTGGCGGCGTCTCCAGCGCCGCCCCTGGCGCGCTCCGCGCGCCGGGGAGAGGGGTCCAGCGCAGATCCAAGAGATCTGCGCGAATCGCAAGAAGTCAATGTTGATGGTCATGCTCAGCCATGCGCAGAAGGGGGTCGGGGGAGAGGGGAAGGCTTCTTGGAAGCACCCGTGCTTCTTGGAAGACGCAGGCCTCGTCTGTCGATGCAAGGCCAACGCCTTCTGAGAAGCAGGCCCCCTCTAAGAAGCATTCCCCCCTGCCCCTCCTTTGAGGCAGAAGGCCGCCTGCCCAACGGCGGCCGCTGCTGGTTTTGGGCAAAAGCTGTTGATGGGCATTGTGTCAATCTTTTCCGTACAGTGGAGACGCGTGCCAAGAAACACCTTGCTTGCCTTCAGGGTGCCATGTGTTTCTTTGGTTTGGATGGTTTTGCGATGGCAAGCGTGACGCTCCCACACCACAAATCAATGAACGCCCTGGGGTCTCAGGGTTGGGTTTACTGTGGGAGGTTTCTTCTGGACTGGCCTCCACTGTACCAAATTCGGGCGTCCGAATGAGGGGGGGAGAAGAGCATCGTACACACATGCCGATATTGGCCAGGCCCGGCATGGGCCGAGGCTCGGGGTCCGTGTGCCTCCTGGGCCACGCCAGGAGAGCGTCTGCACGGACCCCTGGCCCGGGATGGGCCCAGCCAGGATCGGCGTGTGCGCGCCTGGCTCTCGCGCACCGACCTCCGCTCGCCCCCTCGTGGCCGCTGGGGCGGTCGGCGGCGCTTCCCCTTCGGGACGTCTCCGTCCGTCCCCGGCGGCGCTCCCGCGCCGCGGCGCGCGCGAGCAGCCGCCGCTCCCCGGGGCCGCTCCCCGCTTCCCGGGAGGCTGGGCCCCGAGCCTCCCCCCGAACGGGGGCCGCCAGAGGCCGAGGAGGCTCGGCGGCCCACGTGCGCTCAAAGAGGGCGCTCCTCCCCGGACACCTCCCGAGGGTCAGTGCAGAGCGTCTGGTTTGATGTGCCTGTGGCCTGTTTTCCACCACCACCACCACCATAAGTTGAAGGGGGAGGGGGTCCTCCTCCTCCTCCTCCTCCTCCTCCTCCTCTTCGTCCTCCTCCTCTTCGTCCTCCTCCCCGTCCTCCTTCTCCCCTCCAGCTTATGGTTATGGTGGTGATGGAAAACAGGCCCATCATGGTAGACCCCAGAGGGGGTCCAGCGACAAGGCGGTGGTGCAATAGATATGTGGGGTTGTGATAGATTTGTGGTGCGCAATACACTACACTGCTGGTTTTCGCGAGCAACGCATGCAGCGGTTGCACCACCATGCAATACAATGTCATTCGAGTTTCTGGCGCAAATCAGTTGCCATACAGTTGCCCCAAACCTATTGCACACTGCACCGCTCCCTTGCAGCTGGACCCCCTTTGGGGTCAACCAAAGAGCAGTTCTCCGAGGCGGAGTCAGCCGTGGCGACGAGAAGCCACCAGCAGCGCAGAAAAAGGACGCACATATCGTTCAGGAAGGCCTCCTGTCCCCTGTCTCTAGGCCTCCCAGATGGGGTCCCAGTGTATGGGGTCGGAGGATCGCGCCGCATCTCAGATGCATCGGCGATGCGGCTCGATGCGGCGCTCGATTTTCTCCATCCCGCCGTCGCCGATGCATCGCCGATCTATCTGCGATGCCTCGGGGATGTGGGGCGAGCCTCCGACCCCATGCCCTCGGACGCCATCCGGGAGGCCTCCAGAGGAGAGACGCCGCGTCGAGGACTTCCGCACCGCGCTCGGGCTCATCGGCGAGCTTCGCGGGGGCGGCGCAGGCGTGCTCTGGGGCGGCGACTTCAACCCCCGCACGGTGGAGCCGAGTGGGCCCAGGCCGCAGGAGGAACAAACGATACATCCATAATCAGGAGGGGAAAAGACACACAGACACAATTCATCGTCGATTCCCCAGAAAAGATGGGGAAATATGGGAAGTGGGGGGGAACACAAAAACCCAGAAAATATGCGAAGATATGGGGAATCCTGTTATTTGTGTGTATTTAGTTGTGTGTCCTGGGGCCCCTTCACATAAGTTGATGATCTTGGAGCCGACTGGGGGGCTGAGATGGCCCGCCTCTGGTTCGAGCCAGCAGCAAGGGGGGAAAGGAGGCCCCTCGTCGCCACGGCTGGACGCGGCTCGCCAAAACTTGTTTGTAAGTTTCGGGCCCAGGAGGGGTCCGTTTTTGAGCGGATTTGCCTTCACCCTTCCAACCCGTCCTTTTTCGACCGATTTCCCCGGGCTCCATCCAGCGCAGACCCCCCGGCCGCTTCCAAGATCAGACCTTCGGAGTTCCGCGCGGACCTCGTGCATTGGTATCCGCGGGATCGCGCGGGCGACCGCCAACGAACCTTAAAAAGAGAGACGGCGGAATCAGCAGACTGAACCCGGCGCGACACCAATTATGGAAACGTTTCCTAAGGGGCATGGTTTGGCATCGTTTGGCATATCTTGGCGCTGCTTGGCGTGCGTTGCTTGTTTTGCTTGGCGCTGTTCGCCGTTGCTGTGCCGTTGCGTGGCGTTGCTTGACATTACTTGGCGCTGATTTCCATTACTTGTCATTGCGTGGCATTGTTCGACATCGCGAGGCGTTGCGTGGCGTGGCTTGGCATTTCTTGGCGTTGCGTTGCAGTTTCTGGCGTTAGTTGACAGTGCACGGCGTCGCTTGGCATTTCCGGGAAACCAGACCAAGCAACCCGAGGATTGCAGCGAGGAAACAAGACCAGTCGACCGGTCATCCCGAGGAAGGCCTCGTCAAAAGCAGAGGAAATCACAGCAAGCATCCCGAGGCTCTTCAAACACAGTACAGAAACATAACCAAGAAAACCCTAGCAATGCCTGCCGGCGCAGGCCTGGGATCCACTTGTTTTTCGAAACAAATAAGAGCCGGAGAAGGTTGGGGAACTCTTGGAGCTCCGCGCGGGTTTCTTGGATCGGCGCTGACCCCTCCTGCGGCGAATCCGGCGCCGTCCCTGGCACACCACGGAGAGGCTGCAGTATCTTCGGGCCGTTCCTTCGGTTCGAGTCGGGGAGTAACCGCATCCCCCGGATAATAATAATGCATCCCCCTTTGCCACTGTATCTCTTCATCCACGGGATTGAAAATGGCAGAGCAGGCGGGGAGGCCGAATTTGAATTAGCCCCTCCAGAGTTCCCATCGCAGCCCTGCTTGTGAGGACGTCTCAGGCGAAGCGCGATCCAGACATCCTGACATCGGCATCCCCAGGAGAATGTTTATTTCCCCGCCGTGGCCCCGAGTTATCCCCAGGGAATTATTCTCACCAGGTTATGGTCAATTGTCTGTCCGCGACTGGCTCCCAGGAGGCCTTGTCTGCCTTCTTCTGCCGCGACGGCAGAGCAGCGGCCTCACGGGAGTCGGCAGCCAAGAAGTGGCACCAGCTGTAATTGGTGCTGCGTTTCGACACTAAGTATCTCCTGCCTCACCCTGCTCGCGCGCCTCCCGGCGCCAGGCTGACGTCGCACGGTTGACTACCGGGCAACCTTCCCAAGGGTACCCCTGCATCCTTGCCTCCTCGGTGCATCCTCGGCCACTCTCGCTGGTCGCGCCCCGCTCGAAAACTTCGGAATGGGCTTCCAAGGGCCTCGCATCCTTCTTTCGCATCCTTACTGCACGGGTTCACTGTACTCGCGGCCGAGGCCACAGGGCCCCGTCGCTCCTTGCTCCGCGCTCCGCAGGGGCAGCGCGATCGGCCACGGCCGCAGGCTGCCCGGGGCCCCTCGCAGCCCGCGTGGATCGGCGCTGCACGCGCGCAGCGGGCCCGGGTGGCCTCGCGAGGGCCCCGCGTGGGGCCTCGCGCTGGCGCGGAGGCAAACATCGGAAGCTGGAGCATATACGTTACCAGTGGCGGGCTGTTGTTCAGTCCCAGGAAGTTTTGAGGGACGGGGACGACGTCGGGGTGGTATGGTGTATACTCGTTTTCCCGTTTTCCCGTGGAAGCAACGAGAAATGTATACACCAGGATGCCGTGAACGCCATGATCCGTTTTCTTGTGCGAATCTCAGTGCGGGACCGGAAAACGCATCGGTGTACAAAGTTCGGTTCTTTAAAACATGCGCCTCGCTCATCGCGGGGCGCGAGGCACAAAGGTTATCAGGTAGCCTACAACCCTCCTCGAAGTCAACGCACAGTTTTTTTGTTTGTGTATATCCCCCCAGACTGAAGTCGGGCACGTCCCTTTACAGGAGGAATACATTCAAGCATAGTAAAACATAGCCTGGAGACGACTCTTGAAAATTTTTGATTACGGTTTGACTATTTCTTCGGTATCTAACATGTGGGAGGACATGTCCGACCTAACATTAGACCTTCGCTCCCCCGTCCAATTTCAATGTTCGGCGACGCGCGCAACGTGGCCCGCGGTGCCCGAAGAAAAAAACAAAGCCGCCAGTTTCGCGACGCGAGCATTGAAACATCGGGAGTCCGTGGGGGCACCGCCACGTCGCGGAAAGAACAACTTGCGCCTGAGTTTCGAGGAGCTGCGGGAACCTCGAGGGAGAGGGAGCGGCACCCGCACGGAGCCATCGCACGCCCGCGCGCCGATCTTCTCTTTGGTCGGCGCTGGGCCTTCCTGGCGGCGGCCTCCCCTTGCCCGCCTCCCTGGCGCCGCTCCCGCGATCCAAGCCCCTCCAGCCTCGATCAGCCATGCGCAGGGGGGGGGGGGGTGGGGAGGGGGGGGGAGGAGGAGGAGGAGGAGGATGAGGAAGAGGAGGAGGAGAAAGAGGAGGAGGGAGGAGGGAGGAGGGAGGAGGAGGAGGAGGGGAAGGCTTCTTGGAGGCACCCCTGGTTCCTGGAAGGCGCAGGCCTTGCCTGTCGATGCAGGGCCAGCGCCTCGTGGGAAGCTCTCTGCCTACGACTTGGCATCGCTCGGACGTGTGCATTTTTCCATCGGCGAGGACCATCGAGGAACATCCTTGATCATTTGGCGCAAAAGCCACGCACGAAACCGAAAAAAAACAGGGAATGGACGTCCGAGCGATGGAGACAGAAGGCCGCCTGTCCAACAGCGGCCGCTGTTGGTTTTGGACAACGCCTGTGGATGCGCATGGTGCCAATTGTTCCGTGCAGTGGAGACCCATGCCACGAAACACGTTGCTCGCGGTGCTTGCTTCCAGGGTGACCTGGGTTTCCTGGGTTTCGATGGTTTTGCGATGGAAAACGTGACGTTCCCACGCAACAAATCAATGGACGTCCTGGGGTCTCAGGATTGGGTGTCTCGCGGAAGGTTTCTTCGACCAGAGCCTTGCCTGCTGCCAGGGCGGGCTGCCCCGTGTGGCCGAGGGGCGCCGCCTTCGCCGTTGAGGACCTCGCACGCCTGGAGAGCGGCCGTGACATCTCGGCGGCGAGCCACAAGGGGGGGGGGGGCGGGATGGGCCTGCTTCCCACCACCACCACCATAAGTTGGAGGGGGGAGGGGGTCCTCCCCCTCGTCTTCTTCTTCCTCCTCCTCCTCCTCCTCCTCCTCCTCCTCCTCCTCATTATCCTCCACCTCCGTTCCCCCCTCCAACTTATGGTGGTGGTGGTGGTGGCAAACAGGCCCAGCAGGGGGTCGTGCACACAGGGCGAGGCTGGCAAGGCATATCTTGAGACACGAGCGGCCGCGGGGGCTCCGAGAAGGGGCCAGCCCGGCCCCTTCCCGGGAGGCTTCCCGGGGGGAGGCGCCTCGCCGAGGCCTCCCCGCCTCGCCGACGGCGCTCCCGAGGGTGCCCGCACCGTGCCTCTAGGTCTCGGGGGCCCCCAAGCGGGGTGGTGGCCACACCGTGTGGTGAGTCGGTGGGGGTTCGGGGTCGCCGCACGGTTTTGGGACTCGGGTCGTTCTTCGAGGACGTCTCGGGCGACCGGGGCCTCCGAGGTCCCACAACCGTGACGGGCCGTGCGGTGAGGTCTTGGGGGATTTCGAGGTCACCGCACGGTCTGTCACAGCACCGTTTCGGGACTCCAATGTCCTCCTAGGGTATTGGAAGAGTCATTAAACATAGTAAAGAACTAGCCCAACATATTCAAGGATTGTAGCAGAATCGTCCCCAGACTATGTTTTGACCCCTTTAAAGCATTCCTCATGTATAGTAGAGGGACATGCCCGACTTCGCCGTATCCTAAAGGGCCTCCTCCTCTGGAGGACCGCGTCGTCACCCGAGGGCCGCTCGACGACGAGGCTGGCCCAGGGCCTTCGCGGCTCGGTCGCGTTGGCGGTGTCGCGGGCGCTGGCGTGCGTTGCGTTCCAGTCCGGACCGGCCAGCGGTGCACCGCCCACCCAACCACCCCAACCCAGCCCGAAGGTCCCGCTTAAGCCCCTCCATTTCCAGTGGGAGCAGTGAGAGAAACGCGTGCGGAGCCCGTGATTCTCTTCCCTCCCAGCCCGGAGTCTACCAGTTTGAAACATATCCCTATCCCTATATTTCACCTCGATGCCGATCTTAAGGATTCCCTCAGTCTCTGAGGGCCTATGCCTAAGATTGTCCTCGCTTTTTGCCCGCCCATCTTAGGGATAGGGATAAGTTCGAGGCTGGTTATGAGTCGGGGTCTTCGGGTTCATCAGGTTGGGGTGGTCTGGTGGGCAGTCCTCCTCCTCCTCCTCCTCCTCCTCCTCCTCCTCCTATCAGGTTGGGGTGGTCTGGTGGGCAGTCGGCTGGCGCGTCGGTGCTGCGTCGCCGCGCCCCTCCGTGGCTGCCTATAGGGGCGTCGGGCGGCGGCAGGGCGGCCGCGGCCTCGCCCGGGCGGCCTCGCCGTGGGCGCCGCGGCCGTGCCGTGGCCGCGGAGGGCCCCCCCGCGTGGCGCCTCCGAGGAGGCGGGGTGCTCCGAGGGCAGCCCTCTTCTCGGGGGCGGACAGACCCCCAAACATCACCACCCACCAAACCACCCCAACCCAACCCGAAGGCCCCAATTTACCCTCGATTTCCAGTTGGCGGGGGTCGGGGAACATCGAAAAAACACATGTGGAACCCTTACCCCCCCCAACCCGAAATTCGGGTCTTCGGGTTGGGTTGGGGTGGTCTGGTAGGTAGTCAAAACAGTGACACGTCGATTAGTGAATTGTCCGTTTTCGGTTCTCGAGAGGGCGCCGCGGCCGCGGTTTTCCAGGCTTGCGCCCGCCAGGTGCGGGCCTCGGGTCGTCTTCACTAGACCACGTTTTACTAAAGGGAGGTCTGTCCATCCCCGAGTGTAGCGCCTCCGAGGAGGCGGGGTGCTCCGAGGGCAGCCCTCTTCGGAGGGGCCGGGTGTGTATACAGTTTACCAGCCTCGAACGTATCCCTATGCCTAAGATTGACACGCCGAAAGGCGATGACAATCTTAGGGGTCCGCCCTCGAAACATAAGGGAATCCCTAAGATTGGCATCGTGATGAGGCGATGCCGAACACAGGGATAGGGATATGTTCCAGGCTGGTAAACAGTGCCGTTTTGAATGCATGCTCCGCGTGCGGATCATAAGTTACAAATGCAGGGGTTCAGTATGAAAAACAACGATGAGTGTTTGCATAAGTTTATTCAACAATGGATCATGTATTCAAAATCCTATATGTTTTAAAATCCTATGTATTAATAACTGCCCTGTACACCACGTCCCTTTGGTCGGTCAAGGAACCAACACGTTCGGCGCAGGCAGTCGGTGTGTATGCGCTCCAGCGTCCCACAGGCTGGGCAGATGGGGCGTCTGTACGCCGAGCTCCCTGGCCGACCAGTCGACGTGGTGTATACGCCGGGCCCCTCCCACCACGCGCCCCGCCCGCTTCTGGCCGCCGCCGGGTATCCTCGGGTCCGAGGCTGGCAGCCTCGTGACCTTTTCGTCGCTGCTCGAGGGGTCGGGCCTGTCCGAGGCTCGCGGCCTGAGGTGCCCCACCTACAAGAAGCAGAAGGAGTTCGGTAGCTAAGTCTGGGAGCCTTGTGCAATTGCCGTCTGAATTCCGTCCTAAGCGTCGGTAGGCGTCGGGCAGCGTTTGGTGGTCAATGAGATAGCGCCGATTTGGCGTCGGTTAGCGTCGATCACGGTCGATTAGCGTCGATTGTTGCTTGATAGCGAGATGGTAAGGGAGGCCCCCATAAGTTGCCACCAAAGAAGGAGAAGCCGTCCACGGATCCAGACAAGGCCCAGTTCCAGTGCGCCGAGGATGGGCATACGATGCACTACAAGGCCTCCCACCCACCCTCCTGGACCGATCGGGTCTTCCACAGCGCGGCGGTCACGCCCTGGCTGCAGTGCGGCAAGCTGCACCGCAGCGTGCACGTTGCCGACCACGACGCCGTGCTGGTCACCTGCAGGGTCCAGCCGGGGGAGTCGTGCGGCGGGCAGAAAGCCAATGTCGAGGAAGAGGAGGAGGAGTACGCACGCTGCTGTTGCCAGGGAGCGAAAGGGGAATGTAGACTGATGGGGGAGGACGAGCTGAGAACCAACTGGAAGCCTTGGAAGTGGGGCAAGAAGGTCTGCCCGGGCGGCAGGGGCAAGTGGCATTATTGGAAGAAGTATCACGCCCACATGCCCGAGACATGCTTGGACGAGCTGGAGGGAGTCGTCGACGAGCAGCCAGCCCCGTCTTGAAGCGAGTTAGTAGAGAAGAGTCGTCATGTTTGAAGGCTGAATTTACTAAACCGAATGAATTCTTCTATCCGCCCCAATTCCGCGGCGATGTGCGGCCAGCGCGCTCCAAAGCGTGTGTCCTCTCCTGGCTGGCGCAAGTAGGCAGTGAGCACGACAACCACCGCGCAAGGGCCCTGGAAGAAGCCTGCATACAGCTGGACCGAGGTATGATTTTGAGGTCGGTTCGGGGTGGATAATTACCCTGATGTTCTTCGTGCTTATCGGATGTTCTTGTGCATCCTAAGGGAGGTATCTTCGAATGATCCCAGGGTTTGGGGTGCTTTGGCCGGCGGAGGGTCTCATATTCTGGAAGACTGCTATTCCGGCCTAGGTCCGACTCTATGCGGCGTCATCGCTCCGGCTCGACGCGAGCACGGGGCTCGACAGTGCAGGGCCTTTTCCTGCACGCGGGAGCACTGGTGCCCACATGCGCCCTCCTGCGGCCTCTCCGGGCGCGCGAGCTCGTGCGAGAGAGAGGTGTCTAGTCAGAGAGGGCAAAGGTACCGATCCCGCTACCTTTCCCTCGCTTCCCTGGGGAAAGGATGAGGAGGAGGAGGAGGAGGAGGACGAGGAGGACGAGGAGGATGAGGAGGAGGGTGAGGAGGACGAGGAAAGGAGGATGGGGACGAGGAGGAGGAGGATGATGTGTAGGAGGAGGAGGGAGGAGGAGGAGGAGGAGGAAAAAGGAGAAGGAAAAGGGGGAGGAGGAGGATGAGGAGGAGGAGGAGGAGGAGGAGGAGGAGGAGGATGAGGAGAGGAGGAGGAGGAGGGGAGAGGAGGGTGGGGAGGACGAGGAGGGCGAGGAAAACTATAAGGAAGAGGAGAAGGAGGAGGAGGAGGAGGAGAAGGAGGAGGAGAAGGAGGAGGAGAAGGAGGACGATGAGGCCGAGGACGAGAAGGAGGACGAGGAGGACGAGGACGAGGAGGACGAGGACGGAAGGAGTAGGAGGAGGAGGAGGAGGAACGAGAAGGAACGATGAGGAGGAAGAGGAGTAGAAGGAGGACGAGGACGAAGAGGAGGACGAAGAGGACGAGGGCGAGGACGAGGAGGAAGAGGAGGACGAAGACGCGGAGGACAAGCAGGAGGCGAAGGAGGAGCGAGAGGAAGAGGAGGAGACGGAGGATCATGAGGACGAGGAGGAGGAGGAGGAGATAGAGGTGGACGAGGGCGAAGACGAGGAGGTGGAGGAGGAGGAGGACGAGGACGAGGAGGACAAGGACGACGACTAGCAGGAGGAGGGGAAGTTGGGAGAGGAGGAGACGGAGCACGAGGAGGAGGAAGGGAGAAGAAGGATTAGGAAGAGGAGGAGATGAAGGAGGATGAGGAATATGACGATGATGATGACGATGATGCTGATGGTGATGATGATGATGCTGATGATGCTGATGATGCTGATGCTGACGATGGTGCTGATGCTGACGATGGCGATGATGATGCTGTTGATAATGATGTTGCTGATCGTGATGATGTTGATGCTCCTGCTGATGATGATGTTGATGACGATGATGATGATGATTATGATGATGACGCTGATGATGATGCTGATGATGGTGATGCTGAATATGATGATGATGATGATGATACTGATGCTGGTGCTGATGATGATGATGATGATGATGCGGATGCTGTTGATGATGCTAATGACGATGATGATGATCATGATGATGATGATGATGATGATGATGATGATGATGATGATGATGATGGTGTTGGGGATGCTAATGATGACGATGATGATGATGATGACAATGAACATGATGATGATGCTGCTGCTGATGATGATGATAACGATCATGACGATGCTGCTGACTATGATGGTGATGATGATGCTGAAGCTGATGATGCTGGTGTTGCTGATGATGCTGATGATGGCGATGTTGATGTTGATGATGATGCTGATGCTGATGATGCTGCTGATGGTGATGATGATGATGGTTATGCTGATGATGTTGTTGATGATGCTGCTGATGAGGTTGATGTTGATGTTGCTGATGGCGAGGATTATGCTAGTGATGATGTTACTGTCGATGATGCTGATGATGGTGTCGACGCTGGCGACGGCGATGGTGATGTTGTTGATGATGATGCTCATGTTGATGCTGGTGATGCTGATGACGGTGATGATTATGATGATGCTGATGATGTTGATGATGATGATGCTGCTGGTGATGATGATGCAACTGATGATGCTTATGATGATGATGCTGATGATGATGATCATGTTGATGATGCTGGTGATGACGATGATGCTAATGCTGATACTTATGCTGATGATGCTGATGCTGATGCTGATGCTGATTATGATGATGATGCTGATGATGATGATGATGATGAAGATGATGATAATGATGATACTGATGATAATGATGATAGTGATGATGCAAATGGTGATGATGATGATGCGGAGGATGATGATGAGAAGGAGGAGGAGTAGGATAAGGAGGAAGTCGATGAGGGCGAGGACGAGGAGAAGGAGGACGACGAGGACGTGGAGGAGGAGGAGGAGGAGGAGGAGGAGGAGGAGGAGGAGGAGCAGCAGCAGGATGAGGAGGAGGATGAGGAGGAGGAGGCTGAGGAGGATGCGGAGGACGACGAGGACGACGAGGACGACGCGGACGACGAGGACGATGAGAAGGACGACGAGGACGAGGAGCAGGAGGAGGACGAGGAGGACCAGGAGGACGAGGAGGAGAAAAAGGAGGACGAGGACGTGGAGTATGAGGAGGACGAGGACGAGGAGTACGAGGAGGACGAGGACGAGGACGAGGAGGAGGCGGAGGAGGAGGAGGCGGTAGAAGAGGAGGAGGAGGAGGAGGAGGAGGAGGAGGAGAAAGAGGGGAAGGAGGGAGCATGACCAGCAGGACGGAGACTAGGTGGTGAGGAGGAGAAAGAGGAGGAGAAGGATGAGGATGAGGAGGAGGACGACGAGGACGACGAGGAAGACGAGGAGGAGGAGGAGGAGGAGGAGGAGGAGGACGAGGAGGACGAGGAGGAGGAGGACGAGGAGGAAGAGCAGGACCAGTGTCAAACCACGGGTCATCAACAATGTTGGAATTCACCCTCTCTCCAAGCTCCCTCTTCATAGGCCCCCACGACGGTTCATTTCCATTGAGGGTATTGCCCCGTTGGAAGGCAGCTGTTTGAAGATCCTGAATCATGGCAAAACATTGTTCTCGGGCATTCAACGCCACGTATCAACCTGACTGCTGCGCCTTGACGATCCGGGATCGTGCCAACGCGCCATTTCGAAAACTTGAACACCCCGAACCAAGATTTGTTGCACCCGCGTAACCCTGAATCCTTCCAAAACACCATGTGTGGTGGGCTGATCATGGGAATCAGTGAAACTCTTGCGAATTTTGAAACGAATGTGCTCGTCGCTAGGGCGGGGGTCACATGTTCAATAGGAACCACCCTCAAACCGTGCATGTCTTGCATTTCTTATGTTTAAAGAATGTGCGCGGCGCTGGAGCCACATTCTGAAAACCACCCGCCCTCCATCCGCAACATCCCTGTAAAGGTTTAAAAAGAATGTGCGCGGCGCTCAGGCGAGACTGACATTTTGAAAACCACCCGCCCTCAATCCGTGAAACTCTTGCAATTTTCTAAACAGAATGTGCGCGGCGCTGAGGCGAGAGCCACAGTTTGAAAAGGAACCACCCTCAAACCGTGAAACTCCTGCACATGTTGTTTAAACATATGCGCGGCGCTAAGGCGAGAGCCACATTTTGAAAACCACCCGCCCTCCATCTGTGAATCTGTTGTCACTTGTGAGTTTCAGAGTCATACGTGGGGGGGAAGTCTCAGGCGAAACGCACGGCCCGCCCTAAGACTGGCCTCGGGGTGCGACAGAGAAGAGTTATCTATAAGGAGAAGGAATGGAGGAGGAGGAGGAGGAGGAGGAGGAGGAGGAGGAGGAGGAAGAGGAGGGCGAGGACAAGGATGAGGAGGATGACGAGGAGGACGAGGCGGAGGAAGAGGAGGAGGAGGAGGAAGGAGCAGGACGAACAGGACGGAGACTAGGAGGTGAGGAGGAGGGCCACGAGGACGAGACGGAGGAGGAGGGAGGAGGAGGACGAGAACGAGAACAAGGAGGAGGAGGAGGACGAGGAGGATGAGAAGAGGAGGAGGAGGAGGGGGAGGA